AGAATTGAGTAGTGAGCCAGGGTCCTTACCAGTGCCCGAATTTGTGTACGCGATATTCTTATTCATGACCTGGAAAGCTAGGGAGCTGATTGAGACACATTTTCAATATCACCCTCCTTCTACAGAACAAAGATATTTATACGATATGCCAGGACACTTTTTGCCATAGAAGATGCCTTTGAAATCTGCAAAAATGAACTGGGTAAGCAACAGAGAACTCAAGAGAAACATTTTCATTTAAATACACAGTATATATATATATATATATATATATATTATAAACATTTTAATGTTGCTTTTACAGCTACAAGAATACAGGCCAAATACAAAGGCTACAGAGCAAAAGGAGAGTTTCGAAAACAGAAAGAGGCTGGTAAGTAACAGTATTTATTGATTTAATACAGCTTTTCTATAATTACTATTATTTGAAGTATATTACAGAATCTTATGACAGTCCATTGCAATATGAAGTCTACTAAAAAAAATGCTGGGTTGTTTTAACCCAAATTTGGGTCAAATATGGACAAACCCAAATGTTGGGTTAAAAATGTAATTTACAATTTTACCCGAACTTCAACTTTCACTTTCAACTGTAAATGTTTTAATTACATTTTTAACCCAACATTTGGGTTTGTCCATATTTGACCCAAATTTGGGTTGAAAAAACCCAGCATTTTTTAGAGTGCATGCATACATGCGCTATTTGCATTTTTATTATGTGATTCATCTTTTAGTTTTTTTTTGCCATCATTTAGCTACAAAAATTGAGTCATGTTGGAGAGGAGCGCAGGCACGCAAAGAGAAAGATCGCAGAGCCTGGGCTGTGAAAGTCATTAAAAAGTTAGTAATATAAGTTTCTAATATTAATACACCTTATTTACCAGGTGTATAACCTTTCACTTAAGGGATGAGATGGCATTCCCGTTATGACATGATGTTTCCATGCAGGTTTATTAAGGGCTATATGACAAGACGTGAAGCAAAAACAACTGACAACTCTGAATACCTGGCCTTCGTCCGACAGAGCTACCTGAATAGACTCAAAGGCAACTTACCAAAAACCGTCCTGGACAAGACCACATGGCTGACACCTCCCCCAGTCATGACAGAGGTATTCACAAATTCTCTGTTACTAAGATCTGAGGAACCCAACAGTGGCTCCAAAAAGTGTTTGAACACTTAAAGACAAGGCAAGTTTATGTATATAGCACTAATAGCACATTTCATACACTATAAACATACAAATAAAAATACAACAACAAAAAACAATAAAAGGGGATAAATTAAAACAAAATAAGGTATACATTAAAAGGAAGATAAGAGGTATACTTAAAAGCATATAAGAAGACTGAGATAAAAAGTGCAGATCAGTACAATATAGAAACTGCTCAATCAGGGAATGAACAGATATTGTAAAATGTATATTTCATTGCCTTAAAAGTGCCATCAAAATAATTGCCACTTGATTTGATATGTTATGTAATCTTCATTTGTAAGTGCTTAAGGCAAAAACGTTGTTTTTTAATGCACTGGTCAATTTTGAGATTTTGGGGGCTATTTGACTTTTATTCCTTTCTATATTCTGAAGGCTTTTACAGAGGGGTTTTGCTCATTTAACGTTTCCCATATCAAAATGTCTTTTGTTATAACCTTTGACTAAAGTGAAACATGAACTTGAACCTGGATTTATCCAATGTTCTGTTCTTGAAATGTATGCAAATCCATGCATATTTAATTACATAACACCTAATTTGCATATTTACACACAATTTCTGAAAACTTCCAAAGCAAAATGATGTTTGAAATTCTTTATGTAATCAATCAACTGGGGGAGAATAGTGATATCTATTACATTTGTGTAGCCTGTCTTGCTGTCCAAATGCTTTTGGGGCCACTGTATGCATACTTTCATGAGCAGGATTTTCTATTTCAATTTGGAAAAGTCTCTGACGCTGTTGTTTGTAGACCTCAGAGATTCTGCGACAGCTGCACACACGAATGATGGTGAGGAAGTATGTGCGGGGAATTACGCCACAGAAAAAAGCACAGGTCACTATCACTGTTGTCATAGGCTTTTGTGTCTTTTAAAGTACACTTTCAGCCAGTTTATTAACTGGTTAATGATGACGACGAAGACTGAATGCTATATCTTTTCACAGCTGCAACAAAAAGTAGTAACCAGTGCCATGTTTAAGGGAAAGAAGGATAGCTATCCTCCAAGCATCGCTGTTCCTTTTATGGACTCTAGAATCAGTCAGTACAGTTTATTCTACATAAAAAAAAACACTAACAGTTTTGCACAGATCTTTTTGCATATCTTACACATTTTGTTCCATGTACCAGATGAACAGGAAATCAATATGAGGGTTCTTCAGACTATACGACATGAACGCATCAAGGTAAATCAGAATCTTTTTGTCATTCATGCAGAATAGAATAAGAACCTGTTCTCCATTCACCACCTAAACACAACACCTCTCTCTGCAGTACAGCGTTCCTGTGGTCAAGTATGACAGGAATGGATTTAAGCCCAGACAAAGGCAACTTATTCTCACTCAGGTAGCTGTATACCTGGTAGAAGAGGCTAAGATCAAACAGAAAGTGGACTATGTTTCTCTAAAAGGTAGGTTCAGATGGGAACATGACATGCGTAGTAGTAACTCAGTGAAATAAAACAACATTACAGAACTTTTAAAGTGGTCTCCTTTTAATTATTTCCGTGTAGCATTCCTCAAGCTTCTTACCCGGGCAGTCTCTTCGCAGGTACAACTTTGTACCTTATCTACCCCTAAAGGGTGCATCATGTTAGTACCGACATTACTAAGGGACAATAATGTACTTCTAAGGTACCAGTATACATCCTTTAGAGGTAAATAAGATATAAAGTGTACCCTTTATGGGCATATTGTACCCCTAATGGTATATTTTTGCATTGATTTTGTTGTTGTTGACAGAGACAATGTATATTTTGTGTATTTAGAAAGTTACATTAGCCTACTGTTTAAAGATTTGAGTCAGTATGATTTTTTTTACGTTTTTGAAAGAACTCTCTTAGGCTTATAAAGGCTGCATTTATTTGATCAAAAATACAGTAAAACAGTAATATTGTGAAAGATTATTACTAGGGGTTCACAATATATCGGGCACCATATCGGTATCATTTTTAATGTTATAGTTATTGGCCCGATAATAAAATTTGGACGATATATTAAAGCCGATAAATAACGGATTATTTCCTTTAGCCGGGACACTTCAGATGTGCACTGTTCGTCATGATGGTTTTGAATTGTTTGAAATATGATTGAAATCACTTCAAAAAGGTGCAGCGCAAGTCTGTCATATAGGCTACATAAAATTATAATGAGAACATATCCGTTCATGGCTTTTTTTTTTTTAGCAAGCTCGCAAAAAAAAAAATGGATTTAGATTTATCGGTCAATATATCGGTCATCGGCTTTCAAATACAAAGGGTTATCGGTATCGGCCAAAATTTTCATATAGATGATTCCCTAATTATTTTTATTTAAAATAACTGTTTTGTATTATATATTATATATATAAACAATACTTTGTATTATACATTTATTTGCAAAGTTGGTGAGAATAGAGTCCAGAGTGAATTTCTTGTGCACACAGGTGCTTCAGTCAGTAATCTGGGTGACTCCGTTATGATCCTTCATGTTGCTTTTAATGATCCAAAACAGAAGGTGAGCAAACCAGGCTTCACAGGATGTATGTAAACTCTAAATTGTTTCACGGTAGAACGTTACAGAAGTTCATGCTTAATTTGCATGTACTAATGTAGTTTCTTTTCTCCAAGGGGGACCTGGTACTTCAGTGTGACCACCTGTTTGAAGCTTTGACCAAACTGGCTATGATTGCAAACAAGCAGAATAACATCAAGGTTGTTCAGGGAAGGTAAAAACATTAACATCACCTTTTTTCCAACCTGCAATCTTCATTTGGGAACAATGTGTTAACATCTGATCTTCTCGCAGCATAAAGTTTGAGATCCAGGCAGGAAAGGAGAGCGGTGTGGACTTCAGCACTGGCCAAGATCCTATGATTTATAAAGGCAAAAATGGTCATCTGATGGTGGTAAGTTTTTTTCTTCTGTATTTCTGCTTAATTTTACATGATTGTTCATGTGTTTAGACTCTTTCATTATCAAAGGTGGCTCCACGGATCAAGTCTCGATGATCTGAAGGAGGTCACCAAGTCTCTGTATATTTCATGAGGGAAATCCTAATGGAAGAAGATATCTTTCTCCACCTCCCAAAATGTGATACACACACACACACACAACAGACCACTAAGAGAGCAGTATATGCAGATTCAAAGCAGCATTGATCACTGGAAGTACAAATGGAAAATGACAGCTGTAGGAAAAAGCAAGCCATTTGTGTCCAAGTTGTTTAGATTTCAGTTCTTGCGATGACATTTCTTGTAAATTAAATTTTATTTTATTTGGTCATTTTCATGCTTTGTTGTTGAGCCATGTTTATAATATTGTTTTATACCAATACATACAAATCACAGAAATAAAAGATGAACAGGAAAAAAAAGCAGTTTGGTCTACAAAATTTGTAGAAATCTTTATTTCTGATAACGTGTATAAATAATTTGTATGTAAAACTTTTTTTTTTCATGTGCACGTCTGTACAAACTTCTCTACAGTATTACAGATTTCATAGTTTGCTTTTTTTAAATACACATTTGATAAAACTAATGAGCACAAACAATCTGTGATGCTACACGCTGCAGCGAAAGAGCTCCTCTACTTCCTGAAGCTTCTTTGACATGGCCGAGTCTCTGATTACACTCTCATACTTGGTGTCCATTACTCAATTACAGATATACATCCGAACGCTTCTGACTACATCTCAGTTTCTTGTATGCGATTACTTACAAAACCCAAACGCGTAATTAACTTGATGGAATTTAATACAGTGCAGCAGAAAAGTATTTAAAAGCATAATCTGAGTTCACTCTAGTAGTTTACTGATTGTAGCTCAAAGGGCATAGAAAACTTGCTGACTTCTGGGTTTGATCATCTAAAAGTGCCTCATGTACACGAGTTAAAGAACCATAACACTACACTGCCCTCTATTGACCAAACTCATATAGACCTCTCAAAAATCCAGCACAGATAATCCGCTGAGATTAAGCACAAGTGACAGTTTGCACAAATATTTTTGCACAAGCATAATAATTTTTTTTTTTTACAGATTAAGAATTTTTATGCCACTCTCCTCTGAGTGTAATATAGGGGAGCTCTGGTCTGGATTGAAAATCCATAATATCTCAGTAAGACACTATCAGCACTGTCAAATGCTTGCTCCAACACTTCCATTCAAAGCGCCAAAGCAAACAAAAACAATTATTTGGGGATAAACTAAACTCAAAAAACAAAAATCCAACATCTATGACAACACGCAAAACAAAAACACTCAAAAGCACAGTATTAATCTATAAGGCACCAGGAACCCTACAGTCTTCAATCAAACAGAAAAAAACAAACAATAAATGACAAAAATGGACAAGAATACTATGGCTAACAACTCAATTCTGATAATATTCATTAGCTGCAAATCTACAAATTAAATGACAGTTTAGCTGATCAACTTGATATATTCATTGTAACTTGCTTTATAAATAGCAAATAGGGCAAAACGTTAAAGGAATGTCATGAATGCAGTAAAACTACCCTTCTGTTCACACTAACACCATCCCATAACTTTTTAGTAAGGTCCTCAAATGCACAACTGCCGTTTGAGGAGGTGTCAATGCTGCACTGCCCTATATGCCAAATTTATATAACATTATCAATGCTAACTAGTATTCCTTTGTCTCTCTAAGAAAGCAGACTCAGTATAAACTTAACTGACGTGTCCGTGTGCAAATACAGGAGCGTATCTGAAGCGCTGGTAGTTGTTAAGGCACTGAAATGTGGTGAAACTGCAGGGTCACTGGTGGTGGTGAGTGCGGTCATCGGGACGCTTGATATGGATCCTCCGCACTCTTTCAATGCGCTCCCTCTCTTCGTCCTCGTCGATGTGGTGGGAACGACCTGCAGCGCCCCCTGTGGCCTCCAGCAGTGCATTGTCTGGTCCTCGGCCATCTTGAGACTCATACAGCAAGATGTTGAGGGTCTCTTCATAGATGCGAGCCTCTGGAAACTCAACCTGTGATCGAGGGAAGCATTAAAAAATGTGAGGGACATAAACCTACAATATTTTAGATGCCAGTTCTGTTTCTGATTTTAAATAAAAACAGGTTTCTGCAGGTAAAACCTATTAAAGAAACCAAGTTAAGAAAATTTACTGAATAAATTAAAGGGAACAATACGTCACTATGTTATATAAATGTCTAGGAAGCACACAATGAGTAGTATTAGCAACACTTCTAAGTTTAAAAATACAACTTCTAACAGATCTCCATTACTTTTTAAATTAATTTTACAAAAAAATAGCTAAAGGCTTGAATACCTCTACTCCCAACCACTAGAATATGGAAATTACTTACTGTATCACACTGCAAAAAAGTAATGTTCTTCCTCAGTATTTTTATCTTGTTTTCCAGAACAAATGTCTAAAGATTCTTAAATGAAGATACATTTATTTAAGAAGCAAATAAATTAAGTGTTAATGATTAAAATGAGCAAATAGCTGCCAATGGGTTCAGAAAAATCTAAAGTTTTCATACTCCACTGACAGATATCTGTATTAGAAAACAAGACAAAAATACTAAGGAAGCTATACATTTTTGCAGTGCATGCAGCATTTAATGCCATGACATCATTCATTTAAGAATTTCTGCTCTAATTTAAGCCCTTAATTTGTGGAAGGGCAAATTGAGACTTTTTACAACCCGCAAATTTTTTTTTTTTTTTTATGTGGAAGACTGATCACTCTTTACCTTTGTCTGCTTCTTCTCAGTAGCGTAGACTATTGAGGTGCAGCACACCTCTGCAATCTTCCTGCCCTGGCCGTAAAAAGACCAGCAACAAATCTCATCACCAATCACATCCTTGATGAAGAGCACTCGGCCGTTGAACCTCAGAGACAGCTTGTCAAACAGCTCGATGTTCTTCAACATGTTGTCATCAGAGTTGCTACAAAGAGAAAGGGCAAATCGATCAGGTGAAAGCTCAACAGTATGTGTCCCAGCAACCTAAACCTTGTAAGAAATTCAGCTAATTTTACCTTGTATATGAATATTTATTGTTACTCCTGTTGTACAGCAGTTTGACTGTAGGCTGCAAACACACAGAAAGACAAGTCAAGGTTCTGTTGTGGGCATAAGCAAATACAATTTCTTTAAGATCGACATTGTGAAGCATTTGTACCTTATTAGCAGTGGCAATAAGCCTCTGTTCTTCCTTAGATGATGTCACCAGTGGAACTTTACAGAATGGTTCATACGCATCTTTGTTCTGAAAATGTTTTTAAATCCAAAATGTTATTAATATGTTATGGAATTATGGAATATGTTAGTTCACCCAAAAATAAAAATTCTGTCATCATTTACTCATGTCATTTCAAACCCATTAAACTTTCATTCATATTCAAAACAAAAATTAAGATATTTTTAATGAAACCTGAAAGATGTGTTTTGGTCAATTACACCAAAAATTTGTCACTTCAAAAAAAAAATTAGTGGTTTAATCTGTCTTTTTAAGAGACGTGATCGATTTATATGATACACAGATATAATTTAGGCTTTTATTCACATATAAACATCGACACACAGAGCACACCAAATATAGTAAATGGCCGCTAAAACGTGCTTGCTTGATATGCAAGAAACCAATGAAGTTCGTTCTCGCATGTCACGCAAGCATGTTTGAGCTTTTATTTATTTTAATAAAAATATATATTTATTTTATTCAAGGCTGCAATTATTTAATCAAAAAATAGAATAAAAACAAAAATATTGTGAAATATTCATTTCAAATGTAATATTATTAAGTTAAAATGTTAATTTAAAATAACTTTTCTATTTGAATATATATTTAAATGTAATTTATTTTTGTGATGGCAAAGATGAATTTTTTAGAAACCATTACTTCAGTGTCACATAATCCTTCAGAATGTTTTTAATATGCTGATTTGGTGCTCAAGAAACATTTCTTATTATTATCATCAATGTAGAAAATGTAGATTTTGCTGCTTAATATTTTTGTGGAAACCGTGATAGACTACCACTCAAAAGTTTGAGGCAAGTATGATTTAAAAAAAAAAAAAATAATAATAATAATAATACTTTTATTAAGCAAGGATACATAAATGAATCAAAAGATACAGTAAAAGATTTCTATGTCAAATAAATGCTGTTCTTTTGAACTTTCTATTCATCAAAGAAGCCAAAAAAAAAAGAAGATTATGCAGCAAGAACTGTTTTCGGCATTAATGATATTATTATGTGGGTAAAACAGAAATCAGTTTTTTAAAATTGTAATAATATTTCACAAAGTTATTTTACTGTATTTTTGAATAGAAAAAAAAAAATGCATTTGAAAAAAATGCAGCCTTGCTGAGCATAAGATACTTTTTTTTAATGAAAGTTAAAAATCGTAACTGTTCCAAAATTTTTGCCTGTTGGTGTATATGTGAATAAATGGAGGAACACAAATCTCTCAGGTTTCTCTTGCCTTAATGCAGTCTCTCTATAGCATGTATACTCTACCTGTAATGCTGCCTGACACTCATCAACCAGACCCTGCACCAGGTAATACTTTGCCTCTGCCAGTAACTCCTCCGTCTCCCTCCGGCTCTCAGGTAACGGGACAACTCCATCCCTGAGGTAGTTCAGGATGGTCCCAAAGTGCTTCCCACACCTGTCAATCAGAATCCAGCCTGGAGAAAGATCAGAGGTTAAAAAAAGTGAGACCTGGACGCTGCAGAACCCCACATTTGCATCCATATGCTTCATCATTCTACTTGAATACTTCTTCAGGCAGCTATAACAGTACAGCTACCTTCACTATCTGTGAGGACCTCCATACGGCCACTGAACATGGCCTTCAGCATGGTGTCCTGCTTGGTCAGGGTCTGCATGGTGGTATAGTACAGCGCTCCCCCAACATTCAGCTTTACGTATTTGGAACTGGGACTAGACCCCTTGAAGGAGGTGGTCCGTGTTGTAGCTGCCGGCACAGCCGAGCTCACCACACTTTCTCCTGACATCTCTTCCTGAAAATCAGACAGGGATGGGAATGAATGGTGATGAAGGACACACAAACTAATATTCAGTTTCTTTCAGGGGATTAATGACATAGGAATCTAATGCAAACCCACACACACACACACCACTATCATTCTTTAGAGTGTTTATGAAATGTGTATGAACACAGTGACAATGTGACATTTCTTTAGAAGATGAATTAAACCGTCAAATATATATATATATATATATATATATATAAAATGTATGGACGTTTTCAACGTGGGGCAGTGCATATCACCTCAAATATTCCATTAACCTTAAATGTAACGCATGGACAAATTGATTAATTGTAAAACATTAAAGCATGTTAACTTCTCTATCATGGTTCATCGCACAACGGGACAGGATTTAATGACGTCACACCCAAACCTGCTGGGATTTTTCACTTAAACCAAGTAGATTTGAGTCATGTCAATTCCTGTATATATTTGTTTGTGTATAAACATGATTCGTAACTGAATGCGAAGAAAATAAATTGTTTCATTTAAAGTTACTCATAGAAAACAGATAGCTACAGGAGCTAAAGAGCTAAACTAGCACACTAGCTTGTTATCTCCATTTCTTTAAAGAAAACACGAAGTTACTGGTAAAAAGCTAATAACTACACGCAAAAACAAAAAGTTATTAAAATATAATCTAAAAGTACCGGATAAATTAGATGAAATATCAGACAAACATCATTACTTACCATAGAAATCCCCCCCGAATCTTTCGGGCCGCTTGGAACGGGTCAGGAATTAGATCACTTCCGGTTGCAGCCCAGACTCGTTCACGAGGCTGCAGGTCACGCGCTTACAGGCATTCGGGGGCTCGGGGCAAATAAACGATCGCCCTTTTCCTACAGTAGATGGGAAGTAACCATAGACATAATATATGGAACTGGAAGTAACTCCACCTGTCCAGTGTCCTGTGATTGTACCTACACTTATTTGTGAGTGTTGGGGTTTGAATATCTAACAAAACAGATTCATACAAATAACTGTCTCTTATACAAAAAATAAAACAAAAAACTAAAACAAAGAACATTTAAAGCAACAGATTTGATAAAGTTCACTTCACAGTAAAGAGCACATTTTAGATGCCATAGTACTACATTGTTTTTGGACATGTAGCTTAAGGCTGAAAAAGAAAAAAATATTTATTTCTGAAGGATCATGTGACAAAGACTGAATTAATGATGCTGAAAATTCAACTTTGCATCACAGAAATAAATTATATTTTAAAGTATATTAAATTAGAAACTATTTAGAAACTAGAAACTAGTTATTTTAAATTGTATTAATATTTCCCAATGTTACTGTTTTTTCTGTATTTTTGATCAAATAAATGCAGGCTTGATGAGCATGAGACTTTAAAAATAGTAATGTTTCCAAACTTTTGACAATCTTGTATATATATATATATATATATATATATATGTGTGTGTGTGTGTGTGTGTGTGTGTGTATGTATGTAGCCTATGTATGTATGTATGTAGATATGTATTTATATATATCCTATTTTTTTACAGTCTATGATATATATACACACACATGCGATTTTTTACAATAACTGATACAATTATCTTGTTTATGGAATGTGATACTGGTTGGAGATGGACAATATAATTCAAATTCTTATTTTATTTGGGAAATATCGTATACACAAAGCAAAATACAAGACAACTGTACCAAATGTACCAAACTGTTTTCCAGAGACTTTTTTTCCACCAATTTTTTAAAATCTTTAATCTCGATGAAGAACAACAATAAAGTTGTTCATCTCTGTTATTGAAAGTGACGTATTAAATTTTTAATATAAAAAAGATTCGATTTTTCTGTTTCGGTTTATATGGATTTATCTTTTATGACTGTCTGCCTCTGCTGTTATTTCAATATAAACAAACTAACTAACAAAACAATACATCAACATTTTTCAGCACGCAGTTTCACAAAGGGTTCCGCCAAATGTTTCACAAAGCGTTAGTACAAAAATAGCCTACTGTTCTAATCCTCAGATTACTCGTTAAAACGTTTAAAATAGTAAATAGTAATATCGCTTTAATAACGAATCGATATCAATGCACTACGACAAATAACAAGTATGATCCATATTTATTGCGAAAGTGGATTGTCATGACAAAAATGTTCATCCGGAAGTATTACGATGTTACACCGTTAATGGATTAGAGCTGCGGTGTCTGGGTCGCTCTTTTGTTTACATCACTTTTCCATTTATTCTCAAACGCTCAGGTAAATGAAACCTCTGTGCATAATTTAAAGACTTTCTTTACATTTTGTTTGAAACACGTTTATCAAGTGACAACATTTCCCAAGCGTTGCCAGCTCGCTGAATGTTGCAACTGTGTTGCTAGCTGGATAGCTAATTTAGTGTGAATGTTATTGTCTCTGTGGGTTCGTTACATTCACTTGAACTCCGTTGTCTTTTTTGTTTAATCTTCTACTAATTTAAACCTTTAGTGCTAATATTGTTTCCGTTGAGTGCTTATCCTGTCGTGTAAGCAAACTGTCACCACTGTTTCGAGTAAATGATAAGGACTCACTCTCCTCATTTTTGGTCTGATAATTCTGTCAGATACTCTTTGATTTTACTTTTTGCTTTGTGATCTGTTGATGTGTCTAGTAAAATCTCCCATATGTTTATATATAACATATCATCTCCGGAGTAATTTTATTAATCAAAATCATGTTATTTTAATACCTCAACTCATGACTTACAACTCAATAGATCTTTTGTACTTTAAACTACTATTCATTTTCTTAAATAAAAGTTATCAAAGCGAATTACTCTTCTGTTCTGTAGAGTCCAATGGATATGCAGAACAACACGCATGGATATGTGATAGTATTCATGTGACCAGTGGAAGCAGAAGCATTACTAGTCACTGCATTAGGGCAAGGTAATTGTATGTGTGTGTTTATGTAAGATAGAGGTCTTACATTTTTTTAAATTGTAAATTAAACATAGTTTTCTTTATTAATTGATCATGCTTTGAGTATAAATGAATCTAATAATTATACACTTCTGTACTTGCATACATAGCCTCTGACTTTGTTTTTGCTCTCAGCTGTGATGTAGATTTTTGTTCCTGGCCATGACATTTTTAAATTTAACCCACAGTTAAGAGTGAGAACATGTTCACCGCTACCCAAACGTCCAAAACCCAGTTCCTGGATAAAGCCAGGATAGCACGGGAGGAACGGAAAGGTTATAAGGAGAAAGAGAGAGCTGCTACACAAATCCAGGCTCTGGTCAGAAGATTCCTCTGCCGTTGCAGGTTGCAAAGGGAAATCAGGTTAGGGCTGACATGAACCGTTCTTTACAATAGTCAAACATTCTAGACAGTCATATGTCTTTGCTGACTTTGTTGGCCTAAGATAAAAAAGTAAAAAATGAGGAGTTAAACCTCACAGAGGAAAATCAAAGGGGAAGAATTCAGTAGGCCTATTAATACTTTCTCTTATGCTTATAAGTAAGTCGTTTAAATGCTAATGTCTTGAATAATGTAAATACTATTTAAAAAAATAGCTTGTTTTGTTTGAGACAGTGTTATTTGGGATTGTTAATATCCTATTATAGTTTTTATTAATTTCATTAATATTTTTATTTAATATTTATTTTTTGTTTAATTTTGTGTTTTTATCATATTTATATTTTTTTCTTTTTTAATCTTTCTAAATATTTTTTATTTATTTTTATTTCAGTTTTACACAGTTGCTGTTTGAGAATTTATACATATTATTTACATTACTTTCTGTTTCAGGAAAGAGGTTGATGATTTCATTGCAGTCAGTGATGCAGGTTCAACAAAAAGAAATGCATTATCCATCTTCAAAATTGCAAGAAAATTGTTATTTATATTGAGCAAGGATGACAAGTTGGTAAGCATCACATAATGTAACTTTTTTAAATTAATTTAGATTAAGTTTTGTTAAGATTTGTTTATTTAGGTGAACAATATATATATGTATTTTATTTATTTATTTACACATTGTGTGAATATAATTAGTGATGGCATTGTGTTTTCCTCTAAAACAGAGATTTGAGAAGTTGTGTAGAATCATACTAAGTAGCATGGATGTTGAGAATGAACCTAAAGTAAGTCTTTAACCAAGCAATGCATAAAACATTTTTTTTATCCTAAAGTAAATTATTTCCACATTTCTGCATTGTGGTGACAAGCTATTGTTTTTCTAGGTATGGTATGTATCTCTGGCCCTTTCAAAAGATCTCACCATCCCCTGGCTAAAACAGATCAAAGATGTTCTTTGGGTCTCCTGTGAATTTCTGAAAAAACTGAAGGTAATATATTAGTGCTTTATGATCAGTGCTTTATCTTTTTGAATCATTAAGTCATTAAGTACTTTCAACAGTCAATTCTGAGTCTGTCAGTTATCTGTGCTTCTTGATGAATGCTTATTTCCTGTTTTCCGTTTCTCTCTGCAGCCTGACATACTGCAAGATAATAAATTGGTGACGCTGTACCTGACAATGCTGATAACATTCACTGACACATCAACGTGGAAAATCATCAGAGGAAAGGGTCAGTGTCACATAATCAGAGCTCGTGAGATGATTTGGAGGCTAAAATACGTAAAACCCTACTAGAATGTCCTGTCTTTTTTTTAGGGGAGGCCCTCAAGCCTGCTTTAAACAGGATTTGTGAGAACATCATGGGACATCTCAATCAGAAGGGCTTCTACTCTGTTCTTCAGGTACTGCTCATCCAAACAGCCAATCAGAATCTTGTCACAGGCTGTCAGTAGTTTATTTCAATGAAATTGAATGTGTGGTTTGCACTATTAACTAAGGCTGTAAATTTGTTAATTTAGTGCAGTTTATGTCTTTGGATTATCTTCATCTGGAAACGTTTCCCAGCAAATAACGATATAGACTTGTATTCAAAGATTTAGGGTCGCTAAATCTGTATTTTCTTCATCAGCCATTACTCTATTCCTCAGTGTTACATAATCCTCCAGAAATCATTCTAATATGCTGATTTTGTCTGTAAGAAACATTTCTTATTATCAATGTTGAAATCAGTTGTGCTGCTTAATATTTTTGTGGAAACGGTGTGTTTAAGATAAGGAAGAAAGAGGCGGCAACCAGCGAACGTTCAAACACACTTTAATAAATAAACACAAAACGAAAGTAAAAGCGGCAGCTCCTCACAGACGACTGCTGCACACACACATAAAAAAACATAACATAAATGTCCAGGTCCTTCACTGTCGTCGCTCCTCCGTGAGAAACTCGAGACCGGTGCGGTTCATTATCAATCATGTCACCGGCCTCGCCCCGTTCTCACGGCCCTCGGCCTCATCCTGCTTGCCACACGGTTATACATTTTTTCCAGGATTCTTTAATGCATAGAAAGTAAAAAAAAAAACGGCTTTTATTTCAAATAGAAATATTTTATTAAAATTTAAAGGTTTTTACTGTCATTTTTAATCAATTTAATGCATTCTTGCTGACTGAAAGTATTAATTTCATTACTGACCCCAAAATTTGAACAGGAGTGTATATGCAATTAATTCAAACAATTATTCATCAAATCAAATCAGGTTATCTGATTCAAATCTTTTAACTGATTGAAGCTCTAGGTTGAACCTAGAGTTTGAGCTTCAAACATTTTTCAACATAATAAGCATCTTTGCTGTTTGCAGATTCTACTTACAAATGGATTGGCAAGATCCAGACCTTCCCTTTCCAAAGGAACCCTCACGGCCATTTTTACGCTGTCACTCAGGTCGGTTGCCATGAGAACTGGGTTGGCTCTCCGAGACATCTCTCGGTCTGATTGCATCAGTAGCTCTATTTCTGTGAAGTTGCCCATAATGTGATGAGCTTTTTGTCCTGGTGTATTTTAGGCCAGTTGTCGCTGCACATTTCTCAGACAACCTGCTGAGGTCTTTCCTCCTCCACATCATGTCTGTTCCAGCGTTCATCTCGCACCTCAACACTCTCACTCCTGATGTAAGAAACCCATACGGAAGGATAATAAAACCTCATTTGCACACACATCTTAAAGATCTCAAAATAAAAATTGTGAGAATATGATTTCACCTGTCTGAATTTGTGCTCCTTGCAGTGTATGGTCACCATCCAGACCCATGACCTCTTTCGCAAGTTTGTCTTGTTTTTAAGCCGAGAAGAGCAGTGTTTGGATATCTGTGTGTGTCTGGAGGGAAGCCACACTCTGTGCTTACTGGGTAAGCATGTGTGCTTTATAAACACACTTTTTGGAGCGTGTATTAGATTTGGAGAACAAAAGTGGGCTGGTGAATGGAGAGCTGAAAATGTTTTGTTTTGTTTCCAGGTAACCTCATTCAGCTGGGATACTTTAATGTAAAAGTTTTAGAGCAGGAAGCGGGTCACTTTGTCAAGGATCTGACAGATATGTTGTCATACTGTCAGAGATATGTGTCTCAGAAGAAATCCAATCTCACACACTGGCACCCAGTGTTGGGCTGGTTCTCCCAGACTGTTGACTATGGGTATGTCATTGTTTTATTGACAAAATAAAGCACATAGTTTCTGGATTTCTCTGTTGTGCTATCCTATTAAGCAGTCTTTCATTTTCTCTCTCTTGTTTTTTTCTCTCTCCAGGCTTAATGAGTCTATGCCGTTGGTAACAAAGCAGTTACAGTGTTTGTGGGGAGTTCCAGTGATCTGCACACTCTTCTGTGACGTTCTCAGCAAAAAGCTAGAAACTCAAGATCCCACCCCACCACCCTCTCTTCAGCCAAGCTCATTACAGAATAACTTACCCGTCAAAAGTGAGCAACATAATTTTAAACTAAAAGTTTTTTTTTTTTTTTTTTTTAACCAGACCCATAGAACAGAAGTGATTTAGTAGATGATTACACATGGACTATTGGACTACACATAGAGTTTCTAATGATTATCATTAAAGTACACTCAAGGATGTTGACTAAGTATCAGAAGACTACTTATGCAAAATTTTCTGCCATATTTCTGACCACTTTTTTTGTACTAACCCTAAAGACGTTCTCATCCACTGGGGTCAGCACACTTCCAAGGGGGTCACAAGATGGCCTGCTAAAATGATTTAAGATTTGACAAAAAAGGAGGTTTAAAATCAGCTAAAACAACTTAAAAATCCAAGTGTAACCTGAAATCCTATTTCTTATTTTTAGTCATTCCCTTAAAAACTTAATTTCCTTAAAACATTTCAAGAACCAGGGTTCTCATGATCTTAGACAACCTGGATATACTGTATGAGGTTATTTTAAATGGACAAATTTATATAAATTGTCAAGCTCTATAATATGTTTGATGGGTACAAAAACGGCTTTGTGATTTAAAAAAAAAAAAGGAATAAAAATAATTACAAACTAAAAAAGTACTGTAAATTAACTGGTAATAAAAAATGTAAAGCATGAAGAACATTCAGTTATTTTGATTATGGAAATTAATTTAATTATTTAATCGATTTATTTTGATATATTGCCACTCCTAGTTTTTGCAAATAAAAAGTTGAGCATCATAGTAGAAGTATTGGAAATATCTTAGGGGGCCTTCACATATTGTCTTTGAAAATAGGGGGTCTTGGAGGTATAGGTTGGCCTAAAGGAAGCCACACTGTCTCTTAATCTGTTTTAAATGCTGTTTAAACAAAGGATAAAAAGTACACAGTGTGATGCTAGTGTCATCAAGTCTGTATTCATCCTGTTTTCACTTGGTAAACTCTCTGCACGGTTAGATCTGTTCAAGAGAGCGTTCCAAAAGTCTGCGTCTGTGCGGAACATCCTGAAACCGGTCGGGGGGAAGCGTGTGGATTCAGCTGAGGTCCAGAAGGTGTGCAGTATTTGTGTGTTGTATCAGACGGCCCTCACCACGCTCACACAAATCCGCCTGCAGATTCTCACAGGTATGTGCTTTTCAAACCATTTAGGAAGTCATTTCTGTTTACACACCTATGAATGTACATTCACTCACGCAAACACTTCAGTAATGTTTTATCTCATAGTGAAGTATTGTATTTTGTCAGAGCCAGAGGTTAATGCACATGTTACAGCTCACCTTGTTTCCAGATCCTGGAAAAACAGTTTATGCTTTTATCAGACACTTTTGCAGAATAATAGTTGTCTCTAGGGTAGGGTAGGTCCAAGACCACTGTAGTATTGGCCAGTGAAACAAAAAATTCTTGGTCCTTTCAATATTTTATATCATAATAAATGAGGTTAATATTCTTGTTAATCTTTATTCTATGGATTCTAATTAAACTGTTTCCAGGACTGACGTACCTGGATGAACTGCTGCCTAAGCTGTGGGCATTTATCTGTGAGCTTGGCCCTCAGGGGGGGCTACGACTCTTCATGGAGTGTCTCAATAATGACACAGAAGAGTCCAAACAGCTCCTGGCCATGCTGATGCTCTTCTGTGATTGTTCTAGACATCTCATCACGTAAGAGTTGTATAGTTCATTGGTGACGGTGCTTCTATTTTGCATTAATTCAATTGATTTAAAAATGTATTCATTTACAATTATTTTTACTACAAAAATAATATATATATATATACTACTACTATGGCCGTTCATGTCGAGTACGACAAACTGCTTCCCGTTTTGAGCGTCTCTCTTCCAGAAATGACTTGTAGGCCTCCTGAGAGTCCCTGCGGCCGTTGTTAATTGCTGTGCGCCATTTGGTTCTGTCATTTGCAATTGCCTCCCAGTTGTCCAGGTTGATGGAGAAAGCCTGAAGATCCCTCTTAATGACGTCTTTAAAACGTAGATGGGGGCGACCATGTTTGCGGGGGGCATTTGCCAGCTCGCCATAAAGAAAGATTTTTGGAAGGCGAGTGTCATTCATTCGATATATATGCCCAGTCCAACGGAGGTGGCGTTCACGAAGGATGGTGTACAGGTCACTGGAACCAGTTCTCTCAAGTATGACAGAGTTTGGCACATGATCCTTCCAGCATACACCCAGTATGGAACGAAGGCAGCGAAAATGGAAGGCGTTGAGGCGATGTTCGTGCCTCCTGTATGTTGTCCATGTCTCACTTGCATATAGTAAGGTGCTCAATACACATGCATGGTACACACGGACTTTGAGGAGCATTGAGAGGTTCTTGTTGTGCCAGACACGCTTGCTCAATTTTCCAAACATTGATGATGCCTTCCCAATGCGCATGTCAAGCTCTGCGTCAAGGTTATTGTTGTTTGATACGGTGGAACCCAGGTAGGTGAATTTGTCTACCACAGATAGACATGTGTTGTTAATGTATACTGTAGGGTTTAGGGTTGCAGGTTGGGCAAGAATAACTGTCTTTTTAAGACTAATCTGCAAACCAAACTCTAGACATGCAGCAGCAAAAGATGAGCAGAGTAGTTGTAGATCTGCCTCTGAGTGGGCAACAAAGGCAGCATCATCAGCATAAAGCAGCTCACGTACCAGAATATGGCGCACTTTAGTCTTCGCCCGCAGTCTGGCCAGATTGAACAGTTTTCCTGAGCTGCGGGTATGTAGAAGGATACCCGAGTCATCAGGGAAGGCACGGCGTAGTAGGGCAGAGAAGAATATTCCGAAGAGGGTAGGAGCAAGGACACATCCCTGCTTTACCCCACACCTTATCTGGAACTCGTCAGAGCGAGTGCCTTCAGACTGTACAGTTGCCTTCATGCCCTCATGAAACTCAGTGATCACCTTCAGTAACTTTGGAGGGCAGCCAAGTCTTTGTAAAATGAGGAAAAGTCCAGATCGACTAACGTAGTCAAAGGCCTTGGTCAAGTCTACAAACACCAAGAACAGAGGTTTATGCTGTTCTATACACTTTTCCTGTAGATGACGGACACAGAAAACCATGTCTGCTATGGAGCGGCCAGCACGAAACCCACACTGGGTTTCAGGGAGGATACGGTCAGCAAGGATTTGTAGACGTGGTAGAATAGTGCGAGCAAATATCTTGCCAGCAAGACTGAGCAGAGATATTCCTCTGAAGTTGTTACAGTCTGTACGGCCCCCCTTGTTTTTATAGATAGTGATGATGTTGGCATCTCTAAGGACATCTGGGAGATATCCACTGTTCCAGCACATCACAACCAGATGATGTAGGACAGAGGCAAGGACATCACCGCCTGCCTTATAAGCCTCAGGGGGGAGGCCATCAGCTCCAGGAGACTTGTTATTTTTCAGTGCCTTAATTGCAGATTTGACTTCCTCAATGGTAATGTCTGCATCCAGATCAGACATAGGGGGGAGCTCAGGAATAGCAGCAGTTATTGCCAGTGTGTTGGCTGTGACAGGCTGAGCATAGAGAAGGCTGTAGTGCTCTGCCCATCTCGCCAATTGAGATTCCATATCGGTCAGAAGTTCGCCTGATAGGGAACGGAGTGGAGAGGATTTTTTAGGGACTGGGCCCAAGGATTCTTTCAGACCTTCAAAGACACCTCAGATGTTTCCAGTGGACGCACTTAACTCAATACGGTCACACAGTGTGCTCCAGTAAGCCTGCATGGCTGTGCGAGTGACCCGTTGGACATTGCGGCATGCCTGCTTCAATGCTGCCCTATTTGAGCGAGTGTTATGCTGCAAATAGGACAGTCTGGCTGAACGCTTAGAGTCAATTGCAGGTAGGAGCAGGCTGGCATGGGTTTTGAACCAGTCAGGCTGTGATCTGGATCGCTTTCCAAAGATGGAAAATGCAGCCTTTGTGGTAACAGAGTGGAAGTGCTGCCAGGCAGCCGTGATATCCGCATGAGGAGGTGAAGAGTCAAAGCTGGAAGCAAGTAGTTCCTGGAACGCATGCTGCGACGCAGGAGCATAGGTTGCAGAAATATCCAGACGAGGAGTAGGCTTGGGCCTTGCGTAATGAAACTTGCTTGGGACCATCCTTAATTTACAACGTAGAAGGGCATGATCAGTGTCACAATCTGCTGAGTGCAGTGATCGGCAGTGTGTTACTTCTTTCAAGTGCTCACGCTTCACCAGTACATGGTCAAGTTGGTGCCAGCGCTTAGAACGTGGATGACGCCAGGTGACTTTAGAGGAACTTGAGCCCTGAAAGAATGAAGAGGGGACACAGAGTTTGTGGGTGCTGCAAAGTTCCAGTAAGCGCTGACCGTTGTCATTCATGTTGCCATATCCATGGCTTCCCAGAATATCAGGCCATGCACTAGAGTTAGCACCCACTCTGGCATTAAAGTCACCAAGGATAATCAAACGTTCGGTTGAGGAGGTCTTCTGAATAATGGAGCTCAGTTGATTGTAGAATGATTCCTTTACATCTAGTTCGGAAGTCAGCGTAGGGGCGTAAGTGGCTACGATTGTAACTGGGCCACAGTTTGTGTGCAGGCGCAGTGAGGAGAGACGTGAGGAGATGGGCACAGGTTTTTCCACTGAGGACAGTAGCTTGTTTTGGATTGCAAAGCCAACCCCGTGCATTGGTCTGTCACCATCTGGGTATCCGTTCCAGAATAATGTGTAGTTTTTTTCCTGGACAGAGCCAACACCGGTCAGCCAAGTTTCACTCAGGGCAGCGATGGAGATGTTAAGTCGGAGTAGTTCTGCATCAATCAGGGCTGATTTACGAGGTGAGACGCAGTCCATGTCAGAACTAACGCCAAGAGATCGCACATTCCAGCATGCGATGGAGGTATATGCGACACTTGCAGGATGACGACCAGGTCGCGCCTGCCGTACACGCGAACCTTGCCGAGCAACGACAGCACTCTTAAGGACAGAGTGCTCCCGAGTTGCCAGTCGTGGAGGCTGAATATTAGACGTCATAATAGAGAGATGAGATGCTCATAGTAGAGAGCGCCCGGGCAAAAAATTTAAGTGAAAGGATGCTCGCCCAGGTCAACCTTCCACCTCTGGACTCAATGCTACAAATTCCAACGGAACACAGATGTGTGACTATATATATATATACACGTGTATATATATGTATGTATGTATATATGTATGTATACATTCCAACGGAACACAGATGTGTGTATATATATATATACACGTGTATATATATGTATGTATGTATATATGTATGTATACATTCCAACGGAACACAGATGTGTGTATATATATATATATACACGTGTATATATATGTATGTGTTTGCATGTTGTTCTTTGATTTATATTACAGAATCCTGGATGACATAGAGGTGTATGAGGAGCAGATTTCTTTTAAAATGGAAGAGCTTGTCACCATCTCCTCGTTCCTCAACACATTTGTGTTCAAGATGATCTGGGATGGTATTTTAGGTGAGCAGGTATTATTTAGCCCATATGTTTTTTTGCAACTAGTGACTTTGTTTATGCATTTTTTGTCCAATCTTTTTCTCCAGTCATTTCTTGCGGTTTAGATAAACTACAGTTTTTTTTTAGCCATCTCCATATTGAGCCAGCGATAATGTGCTTTCTGTGTGTGGTGACTATGGTAATTAATTTGTTTCAGAGAATACCAAAGGGGAGAAGCTGGACCTATTCCACAGTGTTCACGGCTGGCTGATGGTTCTGTATGAGCGGGATTGTCGCAGGAGATTCACGCCTGAAGATCACTGGCTCCGCAAGTGTGTCACTCTTACATATCACTGAGCCAAATTACTCTCTGGTTTTACTTTAGAGTTGGGATTAGGGTCCATTCAAAAACAAATTACTCAGATTATTATTCTCATATAAGGGAAAGATAAATGCACCGGCTGACAAAATAGGTCTTATTTGTTTTCTTTTTTTTCTCCATGTTTAATACAGAGACCTGAAGCCTAGCCTGTTGTTCCAGGAGCTGGAGAAAGGCAAAAAAAGGGCACAGCTGCTACTTCAGTACATTCCTCATGTCATCCCACACAAAAATGTGAGAATCAAACAGGGAAATTATTATTGCTCACGAGGTGCCACATGAATGCTTCAGTTGATTGGATCATACAAAGATTCAATTTTAGATTGACCAAATAAAAAATGGTCTTCATTTTATTTTTAAACACAAAATGTGAAATTTACACATGTGTTTTTGTCGCAGAGGGTGCTGCTGTTCCGGAACATTGTGACAAAAGAGAAAGAGAGTCTTGGATTGGTGGAAACAAGCTCCGCCTCTCCACATGTGACTCATATAACCATTCGACGCTCACGCATGTTGGAGGTAATGAATGCTTTGTCATTCATTTGATTGATAAAAACATACACAATGATTATTATGCCTATTAGCTTTCCTGTAGCTCAAACAGTAGAGCATGACACCAAGGTCATGGGTTTGTTTCCCAGTGAACGGATGAACTTATAAAATGTATACCTTGAATGCAATGTGAGTCGCTTTGGATGAAAGTGTCTGCCAAATGTAAAAAGTTGAATGTAGGATAATAATGATATTAATAGTAATATTTTTTTTCTTTACCTTATTCTTCATAGGATGGTTATGATCAGCTGCGGCGTCTACCTGTCAATTCCATTAAGGGGGTGATCCGCGTGAAGTTTGTGAATGATTTAGGAGTGGATGAGGCTGGAATTGACCAGGATGGTGTGTTTAAGGAGTTTTTAGAAGAGATCATCAAGAAGGTTTTCAACCCAGCGCTCAATCTATTTAAGGTACACACTGCTCTCTTTTAGCTCAAATGGCTGGGATCAGTTCACCCAAACAATCCTCAATAGACCTTCCTTACTTCACCAATAAACCTAATTTTTCATTTTTTTTTCTCTGTTTCAGACCACCAGTGGGAATGAGAGATTATACCCCTCCCCAACCTCCAGCATCCATGAGAACCACCTTCAGCTGTATGAATTTGTTGGAAAGATGCTGGGAAAGGCCATGTATGAAGGCATCGTGGTGGATGTGCCTTTTGCCTCTTTTTTCCTCAGTCAGGTTCTAGGTCACCATCACAGCACCTTCTATAGCTCCATAGACGAGCTGCCCTCCCTCGACTCAGAGTTCTACAAAAACCTCACCTCTATCAAGGTCAGTGTCATTGTGACTATTATAGCATTTGTACAGTTTGGAAAATGCTTGATTTGAACCATTATGTTTTCAAGGTTTGAAATGTGCTTGGATTTTGAATATAGTCCTTGAAAATGCTTGATGTCCAGACAGTGTGATTTAAAAGAAAAGAAAAACCTTAAATATCAAATAGTGGATCCCTTGCGCATCATGAGTCTCATTGATTTAATGTTGTGCAAGCACGTGGAAGTGCATGTGATAGGTGTTCAAAAATCACATTGACACAATCACTTTAATGTTACCCAAATCTACTATGGTGAACAGCTGCAGATAAACAACAGGGTCACTAAATCCTACAAGGCAGCAGTAGCGGCTACCAAAATCTGTTACCCTTAAAAACCGCTAATCTACCTTTAATAATATTGTATCTATTATATAACTACTTACTAATGAAAATAATGTGAAGATTTCAAGGTGAAACTGATACATTTCACACTTTCAGCCCGACTTATTCAGATTACAATTTGTTTCATATTTGTTTTGCTCTTGGTGTAAAAGGAGCACTTGATGGAGATTCGTTTAGCTTTTTCGCATCGCCTTTGGTGTGAAAGGGCCTTTTGTAACATTTAATATTCTTAAAATTTTACAATACATTGTTAATTTGATACATATTTCTTCTGTAACTTCATAAATGAATGTATTAAAAGTTTTTTACATTTTCATTAAAAAAATTAAAGTACATTTATATCACTATTCTTTTGTGTTTGACTTTAAATTAGAGAACACTAGCCTTTTCTTACTGTAAGTGTAATAATATCCATGACTGTTTATTGATTTGATTTTCAGCGTTACGATGGGGACGTCAGTGATCTGGGCCTGACTTTATCCTACGATGAAGAGGTTATGGGGCAGGTAAGCAACTTTTGTGTTTCCTCAACCTACTTTGTTGGTTCTTGTGACACTATTGGCTTTCCTTGTTCTCTATAATACCCATTCCTTTCTTTGTCTCGTCACAGTTAGTCTGTCATGAGCTAATTCCTGGTGGAAAGACTATGTCTGTCACTAATGAAAACAAGTGAGTCAATTTTGTGTCTTCAGTCAAGTGTACATAAAATTTCTGTGGCAGAGCTGCCTCCTATTCACATTCAATACAATAAGGAGAAATGACCCGATGAAAAAACAAATTAGTATTGGAAGCAGAGCGGTTCAAAAAGCAAATAGGGATTTGCTACCACAGACAAATACTGAATTTTTCTGCAAGCTTAAAATAGGACAGAATTATTCTTTATTTTCAAGGATAGCCCCTTGAGATGAACCATCTCATTTTCGAGGGGGTCCTTAAAAGAATGAGGGGAGTAAAATAATGGTTTCCAGTTCATGTTTTGTCATGAACCCTCCTTTCGACCCTGCAGGATCAGCTACATCCACCTGATGGCCCACTTCCGCATGCACACCCAGATCAAGGAGCAGACGGCAGCATTCATCAGGGGCTTCCGTAGCATCATCAACCCAGAGTGGCTGCACATGTTCTCCACCCCTGAGGTCCAGAGGCTCATCTCTGGAGACAACGCTGAGATAGACCTGGATGATCTCAAGTAAACCTGCAGTTCTTAACTCTGGCCTTGAAGGGTTTTGCTTATCAGTTTGAAGATTTGTAATACAAACTATGAATTAAATCCAAATTGCTCTCTATAATCAACAAGGCTGGAAGCATCTAATGCATAAATGCCTTCAGTGCACAGGCAATGAAATTAGGCTGAAATTGGGCTGTCACAATATCAGATTTTCACCACACAATTATTGTGGGCAAAATCATTTTGTCTTTTTTTTTTTTTATTCAAGTGCAAGAAGGCATGGAAGAGAGCTTGATTCAGTATTCATACACTGTCTGAGAAGTGGATTTCTGGGTGAAAGTAACAAATAGAGTTCCCTTTTGCGTCTTTTTGAGCTTGAATATTTATATTGGCAAGGCTTAATCCTTAGCAACACTGGCCCGTCAACTGTCCCGAGGATTATTCACGTTTGTTCACGTTCAGGTTCTCACAATTTACCATTATTAGAATTCATAAAAATATTACCGGCCAACTGGCGATTTAAATTGTTTCATATAATCGCCAGCACCGATTTTTACTCGCATTTGGCGCTTGGCGAGTGTTCATTTTAGGACCTGTTATATCCATTGTGCAGAACAATCAGTGCAGAAGTTGCAAAGATGTCCACATGCTGTGAAGAACAGTCATTAAAAGGTTATTCATAGCGATGCATGTCATTTTCTCTGTCTCCCAGGAAGCACACTGTGTACTATGGAGGTTTCCATAGCAGCCACAGAGTCATTCTTTGGCTGTGGGACATTCTCTCCAGTGACTTCTCCCCTGAGGAGAGAGCCATGTTCCTGAAGGTAATACTTATCAAATCTTAAAGGAGTTATTTCAATGTTTATTGCCGCCTGCGCCTACTAAGTGGCTGTTTCATCACAGTTTGTTACCAGCTGCTCAAGACCTCCTCTGCTCGGTTTTGCCTACCTCAAACCCCCTTTCTCAATCCGCTGTGTGGAAGTATCTGACGATCAGGTTAGATCACTTCATCATCTTAATCCATACACTGTTCTGCAAAGATTTTGTTGTTTCATCTTTCTTTTTTGTTTGATTGTGCATGCAGGACACAGGTGACACTTTAGGAAGTGTTCTCCGTGGATTTTTCACCATCCGTAAGAAGGAGCCAGGCGGTCGCCTCCCTACATCCTCCACTTGTTTCAACCTACTCAAGCTGCCCAACTACAGCAAGAAGAGCATCCTCAGAGACAAACTCCGCTACGCAATCAGCATGAACACTGGCTTTGAGCTTTCATAACCCATGCTGGTTTATTCTACATGTACAAACACAAACATCTACAAACATGAACATCAGCAAGACTGGCGGTGGCACACAGAGGTTGAAGTAGGAGACGTTACAAAATTACAATCTTGCTTTATTGGCATTGTGGCCTTCAATTAAGGCTCTTGACCTTGAGTTCCTCAATTTTTCCATCAATGGCTACTCTGTCTTGTTCACCAAATGGAAAGTGAATAAAGAAATGAACTAACTTCATAAAATAGTAGAACTGAGCTAAACGTATCAAGTCAAACTTAGAGACTCTTTGAGGAGCTCAACCATAGAAGTATATTAGTGTGTACAAACATTACCTTCAGAAAAGTTTTTGAACCACTTGAAGATCCATATTTAGTGTTACGTTCTTCTTTTTTTAGCATTTGAAGCCAAAAGAGCTCCAAACGCCTTATACAATCAGTTTAAAACCAGCTCAATTTAATGTCTTCAAGTCAGGATTCTTCTGACTCTTTCTTCAGTGAAACCTGTCAATCGGAGACCGAGAAACTGAACTCAGTGTCTGCATGCAAAGTAACTCCAAAACTAAATCTGGTTTTGTCTTTATTGGCTTATAAGCACTGTGGCCATTTGTTGATGAACACTCCTAAACCTCCTTTTAAAGTTACAGCAGATACAATGATGGATGTAAAGATCTACAGAAAACAGTTCAGCTTTGTCTCTCAGGTCTCCGTGTCTCACTCCCCCAGGAAGGGAACAGGAAAGCAATACTAACGCAATGCAAGCCATGCAACTCAAGACACAAAGGAGGCTTTTGCCTGTTTGTACGGCAAATGCTTTCAAACCCACAGCGCACTACACTTCTGCTGGACTTGAGGACAGAGCGTTGAGAGGAAACCCAGCCCTGTTGATTGACTTCAGTGAGACCGAGCCAGCAGTATGTCAGATAAGAGATGTCCCTGCAGAGATGCACCTTTTCCTTTCCTGCTTTCTCATGATATACACTACAGGGCCCTGACCCAGAATGCATCATGGTGACATTTCGTTTCGCTCATTATATTATACTCATTATTCTGCTCATGCTTTTCATCTCTAACACTGTCTTAATGTCAAACTAATACAGGCAAGAATGAAACCACTAAAAGGAATTTTACTCCAGCTTGGAAGTAACCAATCATCACATGACAAATTGCTCTCCCTGTCATCTACTAACTCTCTGGCCATCTTTGCGGTGTATACTGGAATTAAGCCATACGGTGAAGACGACTAGCTATCAAACCAGCTCTTGTAGGGAGGTTTTTTTTTCTTTCTTAAAGGGAGAGTGTTACAGTGACTTCCCTGAAAGGTCAATGGGCTCAATGGAATATCACGAATTGTTATTCCAAGTGGACAAAAAAAAAATCTCCCTTTGCATGATTTCACTGGACGATTCAAACGATTCCATGTCTGTGTCAAACAGGTCAGAGTCTGCTGTTGACATTGTTGTGTTGTTTCTTTTCTTTTTCTTTTTCTTTGTCATAAAGAAGGTTAGGGTCTATCTGTTAAGAACCCCCCCCCCCCCCCCCCCCCACACACACACACACACACAAAATCTAAAGGACAAACATTCAGAAAATATGTTTTGCAAAAAGAAAGTGAAGCCTATTTTTTAGGTACATCAAGATTTAAATTGACCATCAAGAAAACAAATTTACATCCATTAAATATATATTATTAAAACAAATTATTTAAGTATATTATTTATATTAAATTGAAATTACAGTTTTAAGCATACATCATGGTAGTATTTGTTGTACTACATTAAATACATTTTTATTAAGTCATTGTATCCAGATAATATTTTGGGATATAGTGCTTGTATTTAGTGAGGCTTTATTTTGTTAATGCAAAATATATTTTTTTATTTGGTTTTCTTTTGATTTTGGTGTGAATTATGACCTGGACATTTCTTCATGTGATTTGCCCTTGGTTTCAGGTCTCTAAAAAGCTGTAAACGGCTGTAGTTATTCCAGAATATATATGCAAACCCCTCTTCCCTTGTATGCAGTATATGCAAAATGATACAGTTAACCTACCATTATCTGTCTGCCCCCCTCTCCCAGCTCTTCGTAAATCAAGGCATGAAAGTATCTTCTGATGTATAGAGACATTTGTAGTTGTGAAAAATGGCTTTAAGCTCATGTAACTTCCTTTTGTATGCATTTACTGTTAATGTTAAGTTATAAATGTATTGTCCTAATGCACAAGGGCTTAGGTTGTGTCCCATAGCAAAGTTTGGTATTTAACTTAACTGACATTAACATGCTATTCCCTTTGAAAGATGTTCAAGTTGGTGTTGTGGATGAGGAATGTGTTTGGCATAATGCTGTAAATGCAAAAATATTCAGATTAATGAAGAGTTTTTATGGACTGTGCTATGTATGGTGAAATGGCTCACCTGAATTTCATGATGTCACAGAATCTTGCTCTCTCTCTCTCTCTCTCTCTCTAAGATAGGGATGCAACAACCTTTAAAGTGTCTAATCTCTTTTCATTTGCCTGATGAAGAAGTGTCTTTTGAATTTGGTTGCACTACATGAACTGCAGGTTGTTATATACACAGTATATTACAAAAGCAATGGCATTGTAAAGTTATCCATGTGTACAGTAAAATTTCCTCTGTAAAATGTAGACTTATTTGTCGATCAACCATGTAAACATTTGGATATCCAAATCTTAAAACTTTACTAAACAACAAAAAATGTCTTCTGTCATTTTGTATTAGATTATCTGGTGAGATGCTTGACTGGAATACACTATATGACTTTTTCACAGATTTTTGTCCTGATTTACAGTCAAAGCCAGTTGCCAAAAGTCAGAGACAGTCTGCAGATTTTTGGACTATTGAAGTTTGCAGATCTAACAGAAAATAGCACTGAGTATGATTGCCACAGGTTTTTTTTTTTGGCTTCAGACTATGATTCCATCCATTCTGAGGATATCAAACATGTTTGATATTTTGAGCCGATTTTAGAACACATTGTTTCCATTTGTCATGCATCTTCTAGCAACAAGGTGATTGTTTCTACATAAGTTTGTGTTTGGACAATGTAAAAGTCTGGTAGTGTGTGATCCTCAGTCGTTTAGTGTATGATATGCCCAGTTGTTTTTTATAACCCTTTACAACCTTTAATCTAAAAGTCATGTAGTGTGTTCCTGGCTTAAGAACATCGTCATATTGCAGCTATAAGATCTCATCCAGATCAGAGTTGGTGTTTTGGTCTTCAACTTGAAACCTCTCAAAATTGTATAAATATGCTGTTGGTCTGGATCTTATTTCTCAGAGGTCTGAGTCTCAGCTTAGGTAAAGACTACAGTCAGTTTCCAACGTACTAAATGTGGAGATTTCCTTGGGAGAATTTGATGGCTTTGTAAAGCCACTTGGTGATGGTGAAAGTACCTCAATAAATCCAGCCTTTTTTATTTCTGGTTCTTCAACCATTGTGATCTGGATCTTGAGGAGTCAGCTCTTTGTCCGTGTCTTGGAGGGTCTTTTCTTGACTCTTAACTCTGCTCCATATGAAATAAGTAAAGGAAACGTATGATGTATGCTCTATGTTGTAACAACAGAGCATGATACTGCATAATGCAATGTATGAAACTGAGTCCTTGAAGTAAACGTGACAGTCACATGCTTGCAGTGAGTGTTGAAGGTAAATCTGTTTATATAACACCCCCAGTTCTAAGCTCTTTTGCATTAACTTGGTGCCTTTCAGATAGTTTTCTCTCAGTCTGTGTGTTGAGCACTGCCAGAGCCTGAAGTTCTTGGTGCACTGCTGGATGTGATGTGCTGATATTTGAGCTGTTTTTAAAACTGAAGAACCATGAGCTCCCCACCAAGTCCTTCTCCGACCAGGTGGTTCAAAGCCCTGCGGAGGTTAGTATGACCACAAAAAATGTTTTTTTTTTGTTTTTTTTTTAATTGATTCGGTTAAAATAAAAGGAATGCTGGCGTCATAGCTTTTTAAACATATTGATTAGCTTGTTCAGGTGTGTTTGATAGGGTTGGAACTGAACTCTGCAGGACAGTGACTCTTTAAGACCCAAGTTGCCCATTCCTGATTTAGATGATAGTGTAATTCCAGTTGTATTCCAGGACAAGGATAGAAGACGTGTGTCTGAAGAGTGGAGCAGCAGCATGTGCAGAGGTCCTGAAGAGAGCCAGAGCAGCTTTCAGGGCCGGACGAACAGCCCAGGACAGCTTCAGACTGGCCCAGCTAGAGGCTTTGGTGCGCATGTTGATGGATCACGAGTGTGACTTTGTAGATGCTCTTGGAAGGGATGTGCATAAGGTAATAAGAGTTAAATAAGTCTGATGAGCTAATTATTAAATGTTTTATATGACTATAGTTTTTGTATTGTAGCCTGGTTCAACTAGTGTGGTGGAGATAGTAGTAACCACAGGTAAAACCATGATGGATCCTCATTACTTTGGTTTTTTTGAAACTACTACTAATACAAGTCGTGCTCACTAAAGCTTTTCAATTTTATTTTTTCAGGATTCTTAAAGTTCAAAAGAACAGCATTTATTTGAAATAGAACTTTTTTTGTAACAACGTAAATGTCATTACTGTCACTTTTGATCAATTTAATCCATATATATATATATATATATCCTGTGCTAAGGCAAATTTTGGTGGAATAAAACGTTCTTTGTGATCTTTCTCATATAGCCTCGCTTTGAAACGGTGATGTCCGAGCTGATGATAGTCAAAAGTGAGGCTCTTCACACCATCAGCAACTTGAAAAAATGGATGGAGGTGCAACGTATAGAACGCAACTGGGTATAAACTGAGAAAAGTGACTGAAGCAGCAGAGAAATAGTTGTTTTTTGTTATGGCTCATGTTTTTGCATGGATTGTGTACAAAGCAGACACTTGCCAAAGAAACGTGTTCATTCCCTGAGACACAAAGCCTCACATTGTGTTTTCTCTCAGCTTGCCAAAGTAGCTTATGACGAAGACCATAGCCGGTGTTCTCTGTCACAAGATTAGCAAGCTATTAGTATTTGCCTTTACAAACATGCCAAGCAGTCAAATGATGATGACTGTAAAACCTGGTGATGCTTTTTTATGCTGTATGATGTCAACCATTTCACTCCTCTGAACCAAAAACGGTCATGGACGCAACAAGGTGACACTGCAAAATGCACTCTTAAAAATTAAATTTCCAAAAATGTTACTCGATCCTTTCATTGATCAGTTCTTAAAAGAATTTTTTTTAAATCTTTGTTCATTTTTTTCACCCTAACTGAACCCTAAATTCAAATTGTTTGATAGAAATGTTGTTTCAAGGTCAACAAGGATGTTGATCCAGATTTGTTTGCCTTGTGGTAAAATGGCACAATTTCTTTTATAGTGTTTTAAAGTGAATTTAATACTATTATTTCTACAAGACTTTAGTTTTTTTTATGATATTATAGCAGTGTTTCTCAAACAGGGGGCTTCAAGGGTTAAAAAAGTTTAAAAACAAGTAGCTTTATCATAATTACAGCATAACATACCGGAAGAATATTACAGCATATGACGACATTTAGATATTGCATTGGACAATATTGTGAAAGCCCAAAAGTTTGAGAACCATTGTATTAATGTTTTTCTGAAGACTACAGATATATATTTTTTGCATTTTCTACTTAGAGGTCAAATCTGTCTGTTTTATTCCTAGGCGACAGCATTTGATGAATGCCTGGTGGTAACTGAGCCGCTGGGTGTGGTATTGATCATTGGGAACTGGACCAGTCCTCTCCAGCTCTGTCTGGTACCTTTAGTAGGTGCCATTGCAGCTGGTAAGTTTTGTTAGTGCGGTCAAATCGATTAATCGCGATTAATCGCATAACCTAAAAGTTTTTGTTTATGTAATATTCGTATATGTGATTTTGAATAATATGAATGAATAATATGTCAACCAATCAGGTTGATTGGCAACATTTACAGACTTTCAGTTGTTTGCAATGAACAAATTAAACAAAAGTAATTGAAATAGCTCAACACAACAAATGTTTCAAGTGATTTTCCCAAATTCAACTGAAAATGCAACTTTTCATGACTTCCGCAGTCTCAAAATTATTCAACTGCCTGAATAGAATCCCTCACAACAGCACAAATCTACAAAACAGGTGCTGTCTCAAGCACAAGCATTAGTTGCACTAGGTGTGCTTGAGCTAGAACACATGAAATATCTGAACTGGTTAGGTTTACTTTGTCGAGTGTCACGTTTGACTGCATGAAATATGGCTAAGTCAAAAGAATGGTCCAAAAAGTTAAGAGAAAATTTCATCGCTTTTCACAAACAAGGAACAGGATACAAAAAGATAGTGAAGGCACTAAATGTTCCTTGAGACACAGTTGGAAGCATAGTTCGCAAGTTCAAAGTTAAAGGAACAGTTGTTACACTACCTGGACGGGGCAGAAAAAGGAAGCTATCAATGGCTGAAGCCAGATTTCTGAGAAGGCAGGTTCAGAAAAACCCTGGAACTTTTCGGCCCTATGGATCAGCGGTATGTCTGGAAGAAGAAGAATGAAGCATATGCTGAAAAGAGCCTCTGTCTTCAGTTCAGCGTGGCGGGGCTCGGTGATGCTCTGCGGCTGCTTTGCATCTTCTGGCACTGGAAACCTGCAGCGTGTGGAAGGAAAGATGGATTCATTGAAGTATCAGGAAAACCTATGAGAAAATCCTATGTGGGCGTCATTGGACCTTCCAACAGGACGATGATCCCAAGCATACCTCAAATTCCACCAAGGCTTGGTTTCAGAAGAAGTCCTGGAAGATTCTACAGAGGCCATCACAGTCACCTGACTTGAACCCCATAGAAAATCTCTGGTGGTGTTTGAAGGCGGTGGTTGCAGCAGCAAACCTAAGAAAATTATTGAACGCATAAACGCATCGTTAGTACTAAGTAGAACACCCATTTGCTGTTATGACCTGCTGCAAACAAGATGTATAACCAGACACCAGCTTTTGGCAGTGTTTCTGAGGAATCTTAGTCCAGTCCTCATGAGCAATGGCCTCCAGTTCAATAATTTTCTTAGGTTTGCTGCTGCAACCACCGCCTTCAAACACCACCAGAGATTTTCTATGGGGTTCAAGTCAGGTGACTGTGATGGCCACTGTAGAATCTTCCAGGACTTCTTCTGAAACCAAGCCTTGGTGGAATTTGAGGTATGCTTGGGATCATCGTAGTGCCATGAAGGGGTTGAACAATTTTGAGACTGCAGAAGTCATTGAAAGTTGAATTTGGGGAAACCACTTGAAACATTTGTTGTGTTGAGCTATTTCAATTACTTTTGTGTGATTTGTTCATTGCAAACAGCTGAAAGTCAATTTGCCAATAAACCTGTTTGCAATAGGGGGTTGAATAATTTCGATTATAACTGCATGTCACACACATTAATCGATTTGACAGCACTTATTTATTTTATATATATATATATATATATATATATATATATTCATAAGTTATTTATTTATTTTAATTTTGTTTAAGGTAACTGTGTGATTATAAGCCCGTCAGAAACCTGCACTCATACTGCTGAGCTTCTGCACAGACTCATACCAGCTTACCTTGACAATGTGAGTAAAACAGCATTATTACTTTGAATCCGTCAGCACAGCAGATTATTAGTTCCTGGTTCTTTCTAATTGTTTCATGTGGTTCATTTTTCAGGAATGCTTTCACTCTGTTGTTGCAGCAGCACACGAAATTCCAGAAATGATAGACCTTAAATTTGATAATGTATTCTTCTCCGGTAAGGCCTAGTTGATCCCAGAGTATTTGAAGATGCTATGATGTCACATGGGCTATCAGATAATAGTAACAGTGAGGACTCTACTAAAGTCTGCTTTTAGGACACATTTTCAGCATCAAGTTTATACGGTAGTGTATGTATACAGTATAAAATATGTGCATGCATTTTATGTATATCTGTTAAAATATTAAGCAAATTTTAGGATCACAGTATTATTAATGTCCTCAAAACAGACTAAAAGCCACAAAACATTAACTGTGATGATCTTTAAAGCCTTTAACAGTCTTTAATTTCATACCTCAAACACTTCTCAGGGCTCAAAGTGTTGCAGCTTTATGGATTTATGTATTTGTGAGATTTCCGTGTACTACTAACAGCTTTAATTCTGTTTTCTTTCAGGCGATAAAGAAAATGGGATTAAAGTAGCTCAAGCTGCTGCTCGGACACTGGCTCGTGTGACTCTGGTACTGAGTGGTAAAAACCCTTGTTATGTTGACAGTCAATGTGACATCAACACTGCGGCTCGTCGCATTACCTGGGCACGATTCCATAATGCTGGCCAAAGTGCTGTGGCACCCGACTACATCCTGTGCCATGTAGATGCCAAAGATAACCTCCTACAGGCCCTCCGATGCGCACTCCTGCAGTTTTACGGGACCGACCCACGCGAGTCCAGGAGCTTCGGTAGGATGGTGAATGAGGAGATCTTCAACAAGGCCAAAGACCAGCTGTGGCGATCTGGAAAGGTGTTTATAGGAGGTCAGGTGAATGATATGGAGAGGTACATTGGTGAGTGGAAGCAGTGTGGCATTGCCAGATATTTTTTTATTATTAAAATGTTAATTAAATCCTGTGTTTTAATGGTAATGAGTTATATATGTGTTTTTCTTTAACTACAGGCACTTGTATGTCCCAGGGTTTGTTGATAGATTTTAGACTCTCTTTTTTTGTTATATAAAGGTCACATTAAAATGTTTTTTTTTTGTCAAATTATGCCTTTATTTATTTATTTATTTATTTATTTATTTCAAAGTCGATGTAGATGTTTACCTAGAAGATAACAATGTCAGTAAGAGCATGCTTGCGATTAAATATAAGACTTAATATATACTGTGTGAAGAAAACAAGTTAGATTTCAAATATTGCATTTTATTTTTGCGTAATTTCCAATTTAGCTGTACTTAATTATGCAAAAAACCCTCCATACATAACCAAATTTAGAAAAAAATTCTATTGCCTAAAAGGCATTGAAATGATTGTATTTTCTGATATTTCAAACTGAAGCACCAACTGTTCTTACGGAGGTCGTGGAGTCTGATCCAATCATGCAGCAGGATGTTTTTGGACCCATCCTTCCCATACTGACGGTCCAGGATGCAGATGAGGCTGTGGCTTTCATTAATTCCAGAGAGAAACCACTATGTGTGTATGCTTACTCCAGTAACAACAAGGTAAATTCTTCCCCTGCTATAAGCTGTGGGCATAGCTACATTTAAAATGATGTATCACTCATAAACGCATGCATTTACTCTTATTCTAAGGTGATTTCCAAGATAATGAATGAAACATCCAGTGGTAGTTTCTGTTTGAATGACAGCGTCTTACAGAGTGTGATGGTGGGAATGCCATTCGGAGGAGTTGGTGAGGCACTCTTGTTTTGTTATTATCATCTCATTACAGCATGTAAAGAAATCAGGCAGTGCAAACACTATTTGCTTAAGAGTTTAATCATCAAAAGAGTTTAATCCAGTGGATTTCATTGACAGGTGCCAGTGGAATGGGATCCTATCATGGTCGCTACAGTTTTGATGCATTCTCTCATAAGAAGTCCTGCCTTCTGCGAAGCACCCGGATTGAGTGCATGACATACTTGCGTTATCCACCTTATGAAGACCGCAACCTGTCCTTGGTCAGCCTGGCCAGCTCTCTGAATCTGAGGAGTCAGGGTTGGTGCACTATTCTGTGAGAGCCACTGCTGCACAAATCAAATGTCTTTTCACCCTCACTGTGCACGGGAAAGTCTCTTTAATCCTTTGATGTAAAACCATGATACATAAACCAAACGTATGTATTAAATCATGGGAATTTTCTTTGATTCTGTACTGTAGAACTTTTCTGTACAACTATACAGAATGTTCCAACTCTACATTATCTGCAGGGACAGTCCTCTTGGAGTAAACAGCACATTTATGTTTCCATTTATTAATTTAGCAGATACTTTTCAGATACACATTCAAGGGAGAAAACCACACTAGCGCTTGTAATGGAAATGTGAAATTACAAACATGCACTACCGTTCAAAAGTTTGGGGTCAGTAATATATATATATATATATATTTTTAAAGAAATTAAGTTTTATTAATCAAGGATGCATTAAATTGATCAAAAGTGGAAGTAGTCATTTACAATGTTAGAAATGATTTCTTTCTCAAATAAATGCTGTTATTTTGAACATTCTATTCATCGAAATGTATTACAGTTTCCAAAAAAATATTAAGCAACTCAACGGTTTTTAACATTGATGTTAATAAGAAATTATTCTTGAGCATCAAATCAGCATATTAGAATGATTTCTGAAGGGTCTTGTGACACTGAAGACTGAAGTAATGATGCTGAAAATTTATAATTACCTTCACATGAATAAATTAAATTTAAAAATATATTAAAATAAAATTGTAATAGTTCACAATATTGCTGTTTTACTGTATTGTTAATCAAACAAAGGCATTCTTGGTGAGCTTAAGAGACTCTCCTTTCAAAAACATTATAAAAATCTTACTGACCTTAAACTTTTGAAAGCTACTGTATATGTGTGAAAAATTTAGTAAAAGGTAAATGTGTTTATATCATAAAATCAACATTTTCAGGGTACAAAAGGTAATATTAAAACAATTTTACCTCAGTAGTTTAAGTAATCCATACAGTATATATATATATATATATATATATATATATATATATATATATATAAAATGACCATTTTAATTTTACATGAAGGTGAACTATGGGATCATGACTATAGTACAAACTACATCAGAACATGATTGTTTATTGTTGATATATGAGTTTATTGTTAGGCTTCTAAAAAACTTTATACAGTAAACTCTGGGACAAAATGCCAGATCAATGTTTTTGGAGACAAGAGGAACATGGTTGAAATTTTAGATCATGAGACATTGAGATTTTTTTCTTCCTCCCCTATTCAGGTCTTTTGTAGATTGTTTCTGCATTGCCCTCTTTCATTGCAGCATATCTAGCCACCGTGAACAAGTAGTCACTCAATCTGCGGAAGCAAAAGGGTCTTCACTGATATGACTTAAATCACAATAAAATGAATAGATTCTAATAGAATAAGTTCATACCTGTTCAGATATCTGGCAACTTCAGGATCTGTCTCACCCGAACGGACAACAGGGGCAACACTGTAATACATAACATTTGATACGGTAAGGTAACACAAGTGGAACTGAGAATATTGTTTGTGTGCACGGTTATGTCAGACTGACCAGCGTTCAGCCCGTCGACACACTCCTCTGGCCACATGTAAAGCTGCGCTGCTTTTCCCTCCTGACTGCAAATCAAGTATGAGATTAAATGGCTTTCCTTCAGTTACTATCACCTTACTTACAATATTAATTGTCATCAACATGTCATTAAAGTCGGCATGAAACAGAGGCTGCGATAGTCTTTTCTTCCCTATTGTGACGTATATCTGAGTGAAACGACTTCTTGAACACTTGATTTTGTCCATCGGGAATTGATTGGATCATTATAGTTTGCTACTGCTGTGATCTCTTGTGATTGACAGGTTGTCCTGGCCTCACATCAGTAAACATGTCATCAGAGAAGAGAAGAGATGTTGTTGCATGAGGGATGGGAAGTCATTTTGATTATAGATTAGGAGGGCTCTTGAATTACATACAAATATAAGTTGTCAATTTTGATTTCATGGTGACTTTAACAACCCAAATCATAAAACAATTGCAATTTCCCATCTAGGGTCTAATTGCCATTCAACTCAAGATTATGAAGGATACATATTTCTGGAACATACATACAGGAAGTATGAAGTTGGTGAGTGGAGGCAGCTCCTCTGTCAACGAATCAATCCACCTCTCCAGCTCAATCACAGCTTGAGAGCTGAACTTCGTCTTCTCTGTTTGGAACAGGAACATCAGAATGAGGCTCATATTTTACTGCTAATCTATGCAGTTAAATATTTGAATGCATTTGTATATTGAAAACGAAAAAGAGCTTACGGATGTGACTGTCTCTAGCTGATGACCGTGGAGTGGCAATATTTGACCCTACGTCCTGTAGTACACACTGGATCTGTACAGACAAGAGAAGTATGTGGACACTTATGGCACGCAAAAATATAAACCATGAGCCATTTATTTGAAAACATTTCAAATCTGAGGTCAACTGACTGAAATCAACTTGATGCCAGGTGCAAAAATGACTCAGAGAAGAAGTAGAATTAATTCTGTAGAAAGGCCTACCAAAATCTATTTGCAGATGGCTTTTTGTATATAAAGCAATACAACTCATGCATTTAAAGAATGGCTTAAGTGTCCAAATAATTTCAGATCCACTGTAGATTAAATCATTCATTGCTTCTCATCAAACATCAGAGAGAAACATACCTTGTCCAGCTGATCTGTGAATGAATGGCCACTGTCAATGCAAAATTCTCTTGCTAACCTGAAAAGGGGAATCAGACGTTTTATTGCTTTATTGAAAGCATTTTAAAGTCATTTGACCCACACATTATGCTACATTACCCAATAGCTGATGATAATTCATCTGTTGTTCCCAAAGCATCAAATATATGATCCTCCTTTGGTCTCCTCTCACCTGTGAAGGTACTGGAAAAACCTAATGAGGTGAGACATTGAAAACAAGACAATGTTGTTTACACAAACCTAACACTTTCAGTTTGACATGCAACTCTATTACCCAGTAACATAACTTCCAATTTTTTTTGTAAATATATACTGTTGATCATTTCAAAATCCCAATATATAGGCTGCTAGCACAAATAAGCATATATATAGTATAAAATTAAATAACCTTTATCTCCAGTTTTTGTGTATATCTTGGGATTTTTTCTGTTTTCTTCAGATGTGCTGGCATACCTTGGAAAAGTAAAAAAAAACTTTAGTAACATTCAAAGTATCTAAGCTGATGCACTTGTAGTTCATTGGCTACATTAGCCTGAAACACATGGGATATGGGCTTCAAAGCTACAAGAGTCCTTTTACCTTTTTTTATCCCCACACACAGCCTGCATCTGCTTTATGCTTATACATGTCCCTAAACGAAGAGCACGGTGAAGACCCGTGGACCTGATCACGATAGATAACATCGTAAACGCTAAAACATTTCCAAACGCGCTTCTGTGTTTACTGTTGACGTTTTGACAGCTTCCGCTGCCCGTAGACGGGCGTTCTATCACGCAACCTATGACACGAGGTGCTGCGAATTGCGATTGGTGTTTTGAGAGTTGGTGACTATGAGAGCTTCATCCTGATAGGCGGGTTTAGAGTCAGCGATGTGAGAGCTCAATCCTGATTGGGTCAGAAGGTTCACGTGTATGGCAATGGACAAGCCGAAGCGATGTGTTACTGTGTATGAAGCGATGCGTTACTGTGTATGAAGCGATGCGTTACTGTGTGTGACGCTTTACTTAAGGATTTCTCGATTATTTATATTAGCTAAACTGTTATTTTTATCTGCTACAAGAATAGTGCGCTGAATTAAGCTCGGTGGATGACCACAAATATGAGATTTTAGCAAGGCATTATTGCTTTGGTCAGCATATACTGACACATTTTCTGGGACATATCTTGCAAATTCAGAAGTTTGACCAAGCTCTAATATTCAGGATGCAAACAAGAGAGTTCTTGGTTTCAGCACCAGGGAAAGTGATTCTCCACGGTGAGCATTCTGTCGTGCACGGAAAGGTGGGTGTTTAAATCATCAGAGACCCCAACATTGACGTCTTTTAATTGATGAGTTTGCACTTTTCCTTCATTAAAGTGTTTTTTAGAAAAATCATAGTTTTGAAGGATATTTCGTTTAGAAAAAAAAAGAAAAGAAAAAAAGCTGATGTGTTTAAGGGCCTGCAAATCATTTTTACTAGTCTCTTGGTGATTTGTTGTGTTTGGGTTCCATTTGTGTGAATAATTTTAAAATGTTTATGTGTTTGTTAATATGTAATTTTTATGTACATACAATGTTGGTATTACAGATCAAATGCTAACTTAAAGTTTGACATTTTCCTTTAACACAAAGTGCTAAGGTGTCAGTTGGCTGTAACTGTGATTTTTTTAGCAAGCTGTAACGTTTAATGTTATGTAGAGAGTATCAGCTACTGCCATGTTTTTATTTTATTTTTTACCAATATTTATTTAGAAGGTATTATTGAATTGCTTATTATGTAATAACAACTGTTTCAGTGTTGATTTTAGGGTTAATAATGTTCATAGTCAAAGTAGATGAGATGATTGAGATCATTCAGTTTAATTATGTCCAATGTACTTTTGGAAAACTGAAATTAAAGGGATAGTTCACATAAAAATGTACAAAAATTTGTCATCACTTACTCACCTTCAAGTTGTTCCAAACATGTATGAGTTTCTTTCTTCTGTTGAACACAAAAGAAGATATTTTGAAGAATGTTGAGAACCAGACAGTTGACGGTAGCCATTGACTTCCATAGTATTTTTTTTCCTACTATGGAAGTCAATGGCTACCATCAACTGTCTGGTTACCAAAATTCTTTTATGTTTTTATATGTTATATAAATTTATTTATGTTTAACAGAAGAAAGAAACTCATACAGGTTTGGAACAACATGAGGGTGAGTCAGTGACGACAAAATTTTCCCTTTAAAGTCCCTCTTCTGTTCTTTATTGATCTTAAACAGGTTGCTTTGGCTGTGAGTTTGAATTTGCGCACATACCTGCGGCTGCAGTCCACAACATCCGGTGAAGTGCGCATTAACCTCCCCAACATTGATACTTTTTTGGCCTGGGAAATAACAGCACTGCAGCCTCTTCTGGCTGGGTGTAAAGGTGAGAGAAGATAGATATTTGTTTTTTAAAATAAAAGAATAGTTCACCCAAAAATGAAAACTCTGTCATTATTTACCCCTGTATATTCATTGAAGTTGTAATAATGCAGTGTCGGAAAGCAATCATCTCTGGCCTGTGTTTCTTTGACTGTTCATTGTATCAGCAGAGCAGGGTGACCTGAAGGAACTTGACGCAGATCTTTTGAAGAGACTACGTGAATTCACAGGCATTTTAGATGATTCCACAGACACAAGAAGCATGGCAGTGTTGGCTTTCCTCTACATGTACCTGACTGTTTTTGCAGAGTAAGAACACCGTTCAACTCTCTGCATCATTTATTAAAGTGATCTATTTTTCAGATATTACCTTTCATGTAACGTGTAATATAGCTGTTTGTGGATGTAAAGGTCTACAAAGTTTCAAAGATCAAAGTGCACGACAAATGTAGTTACTGTCTCTCGAAAGAAAGAACAGATTCTGAACTGCCTATATATAGGTTTGTAAAAAATTTGCATGAACCTTGTGTGTTTGCGCACACATGGCATATAAATCTGATTCTGATTCTAATACTCAACTATGGTCTTCATTGGCTGCCTGCGAACAATATCAACTTTAACCCGCCTTCAAACACTGTAGTTGTAGCTGAGGCCTGGAAGAGTTTGGTTCGTGTTATCGACATGATGAGAAAACACTCTTCTCTGCTGCGAAAGCACATCCAGAATGGTAAAACCGACGCCATCGCTGCTGTGTGTACAAGTGCTAAGGAAGCCTCCAAAACTGAAATTCAGTTATGGTAATGGTCATTTCGTTTCTGACACGCACTGTAAGCGGTAGACCAATCACAACAGACTAGGCCATCTGACCAATCAGAGCAGAGTAAGCTCAGAGAGACTGAATCCTTGATCAAACCATTTCAGACACTGAAAAAACAGATGAAGCTATATTTGTATATTATGATGAAATTAAAGTGTTTTTTGACCTTGGATGCATGTAAACCTATTGTGGGAGACCTCCAAAACAAAATTAGGAAACTTTAAAATAGCAAAATAGGGGCACTTTAAATCTGCATGTATTTGAAAGCTTCATATGGACATGGTTAAATTGGGCTTTTGATATTTGCTGCTGTTTTTTTTCAGAGCTCTGGCCAGTATCACAGTGTCTGTGTGGTCAGAGTTGCCCACAGGAGCTGGTTTAGGCTCCAGTGCCGCCTATAATGTTTGTCTGTCTGCCGCTCTGCTGTCTGCCAGAGGCACCATATCGTCTCCTCTTACGCCACAGCAGGAGTCAGCCAGGTAACACTTCATTACAATGCATTATGGGGCTTTTATATGTAGATAATGTAGGTAAGGATTGTTTTATTTACTTTTTTACAGGGAGAGTCCCCCTTAAACAACATGCAACCTTTTGGTTACCAGACCAGATTGTTAGTGATAAGGCTACACCACTCTTTGAATAGGTACATCTGATCATCTAAAATTAAAAGATGAATTAAGCAACCGAGGAGCAGAGATATTAACTTAGAATTCCAAAGACATTGTCCTTCCTCTGTCCTCTCAAAACCATCCAGGTTTTTGAAAATGTGTGGTTTGAAATACAGGATAAAAGTATAAAAAGGGGTCAAATTTAGAATGGCTCTTCTGGTCATGCTCATTCACATTTAGCTGCCATTATTCCTGTCCTCTTCCTATTTTTAATATTAATTTTTAATATATTTTTTAAAATGCAATTTATTCTTGTGATGGCAAAGCTGAATTTTCAGCAGCCATTAGTTGTGAAAATGTTCTGTTTGTGTTGTAGATGGTGTAAAGATGAGATGGAGCTGATTAACAGGTGGGCGTTCATGGGCGAGAAGATCATCCATGGTAACCCTTCAGGGGTGGATAATGCTGTGGGGACATGGGGTATGACTGCCGTCTTATACATTCATGATGCTTCTTCATTTGATGTATTTTTTTTTTGTAATACATCACTTTATGCTTTCTATAACAGGTGGCTTTTTAAGATACCATGCTGGGAATATAACTCCACTAAGCTGGTAAAATTTGATACTGCAAAAACTATTTTCACAATATATTTTTTTAAGTTACTGTTCCAATTTATCAGTAAAGTACACTGCCAGCCAAAAAAAAAAAAAGTCGCTGTTTGGATTTAAATAGGCAAATACTTAAGAGTCTATGACTGGATCATTATTGCAGTTATTATTGTGATTCTAGCATGTTATATGTTTGGCAACAATTTGTTAACCCTGATTGATGAAGCGTGTAGTTTTCATTCCTTAAATAACCATGTAGGAAGATGCATCATGGCCATATTCCAGGATGACAATGTCAAAATTCATTAGGATCAAATTGTGACATGGTTGGGAGGGAGCGTGAAGAATCATTTTCACATATGAATTGGCGAATTAATTCATGCGAATTCGTTGAAAGTCTTTGGGATGTGCTGGAGGAGGCTTTACAGAGTGCTGGACTCTGTCAATATACAAGATCTTGACCAAAAATGTATGCACCACTTGATGGAAATAAATGTTGTGGTGATGTTTCCATCAAGAGGTGCATCATTTTTTGGTCAAGATCTTGTATTGACAATGAAATATTCGAGCACTCTGTAAAGTCTCCTTCAGCATATCACAAAAACTTTTGTATGTATACATATAGAAGTATTAGCCTATTCAACTCCAAACAGCGACTTTTTTTGTCTAGGCAGTGTATATAAAAAGTTATTTCAGTGAAATTACAAAACCAATATAATTTTCTAAGTGTGTTATTGGGTTCATTTTATCCCCAGGGTCCCCATTCTGAGGATCCTTCTCACTAACACCAAAGTACCACGTAGCACCAAAGTGCTTGTTTCTGGAGTGAAGGACAAAATTAACAAGGTAGTAAATGGCTCCCCACCCTCTTCCATATTTTTATTCCTGTGCCCTTCAATTAGCATAATGGCTGGTGTTGTGTGAGGGAGGAACACTCCAGGGGCCCAGTGCTGAGTGCCTTTTAGAAGAGCTCCAAATGAAGCACTCTGCCAACGCTCCTGTGCTCTGTTACCCTGACAACGGCAGCAGGTAGCCTCACTGCTGGCACATCCCGATTGGCCAAGTGGAATTCCGGTATTATTGGGGTGGAAAAGAGTAAAGAGTCAGGACAGACTTGAAAGGGGTCATATTCTACACTTTTGTGGCATTATTAGTCAAAGGAATAAGCTGTGAACAAGCGCAATTTAGTTTTACTCAGCCATTTCCACCCTCTTTTAGAATTTGTTTTAAAGGTATGGTTGACCCAAAAATGATTCATCTTGACCCACCCTCATGTTATTCCAAACCGCATGACTTACTTTCTTCTGCAGAACACGCAAGGAGATAGTTTATAGAATATCTGGTTGTTGGGCCAAGATGGCAGCATGAGAGGTGAAGGCTTTTGCTAATGCTCCTGCCTTACTTAATATGGAATTCCTCATTCGATCAGTTGAATATCTGATTTATTGAATTGAGCACAATGGCAGTACATCATGCTTCAACTTCACACTTAGTAGAGCACCTAAGAGCAGATGCCATTGATTTTTTTGTGTGTGCGCCAGCCAGTACTTCACACTCCAGCCTACTAGGTAGCAAACACTATTATTCATCTTCGTCTGCCAATTTAATGGCAGCTGGCAAAAGTGCATGATATTTTTAACCCCAAACCAGTTAAGTGCAAACCCTAACCTGCAGCCGATTTCATTGGTAAACTAATCGCGAATTCATCAGTTATCAGAGAATGTCAACGACATAGTACAGTCAAACCAAAAATTATTCAGACACCAGATATAATTTTTTATATATTTTTTTACTAGTGGGTGCAAGACGCAAGTTCATTTATGTAAGTGAGGATAGCAAAATAAAGTAACATGTGACATATTATACCAAAAAATTCTTTATACCCAAAAATTCTTCATCACCAGTAAAATTTATAAACATTTTGGGACCAAACACTATTCAGACACTTTGACCTGACCGTGTTTTGCTTGTATTTTTTGCTTTAGTTGCTAATGCGACCTTTTTACACCACCGACTGAACAAAATTAAGCATTGCTTGGTAGTTGGTTGACCTAAATTAGTATTATCTAATTTTGTACTTTAATTTAACAGCTAACAGTTATTCAACCTAATTCATTTGTGAGACAGTCTAACAGAAGGATGGCCAAAACCAGTGAAATATCAACTGATTTGATAACTCTGAGTTCTTGTCATATTTTATTACCATTTTCTAAACTATAGCGAATAAACTGTGATAATGTGAGAAATGTTGAAGGTGTCTAATTTTTTTTTTTTTTTGACTGTAGTACATTGGACTGTTATTTCCAAATGGCAAGAGTTTGATTTGCAGTTGTATGGTGATATTCTGTTATCACCATACAATTATAATGATCTTTTACTGTGACAAGCTTAAGCTGATTTTTCTTGATGAATAATGTTGTTCCCTCAGTTGTGTTTGTACAGCACTTATCTGTCCTTTTGGTCCTCTGCACTGTTGTCTTGCAGTTTTCCTCCGTAATGAAGCCAGTTCTGGAGTCCGTCAGCGCCGTGTCCTGCACCTGTGAACAGACTCTCACAGAGATGGCCACACACGGACCTTCAGCTGAGCACTACAACATACTGGAGGTACAATCACACAGCTTTTTATTCATAAACAAGATGTATATTATTATTTGTGCCAGACACTTTTTTTCAGTTTTTGCCACATTTTTTCTGTCTGAGACAAATTTGGGAAATCGTAAAGATTTCTTTCATGGAATCAGCAGTTACTTTTGCTATTTAATACAGTTAAAACTTTTGGGATTGGTAATTAAAAAAAAAAAAAATTTATGATTTGGTACTCAAAAACATTTCACATTATTAGTGCTGAAATCAATTGTGGTGTGTAATATTTTTTGTGGAAAACCGGATTTTATTTAGGATTCTTTGATGAATAGAAAGGTCAAAAGAACAGCATTTATTTGAAATATATATATTTTTTTTGTAGCAATTTGAATGTCTTTGTCACTTTTGTTCAATTTAATGCATCCTTGCTAAATAAACGTATTTCTTTATTTAAAAAACTTTTGAATGGTGCAGTATTTTAGATTTATTTTTGGGGTTTGTTATTTTCCAGGCAAAACATTACTAACATTAAAAAAATTAGTTGCTTGGGTTTGTGTGTCATCATTCAATTTTTGCATGTAAAAGAGAAAGAGTAGGTCCGAATAGACATGGGCTGGTGACTTAAAATTCCCAGTCAGCGGTATCAATTGTGACCAAATATTAGCTGAGACATATATCATATAGTCTGACATAAATGAAAGTGGATCTCTGCCCTTTTTTTAACCCAAGATGTCTCTAGGGTCATATATCAATATCTATCACATTTGCAACAAACAGAAAATGTTGTGTAGTGAACAACCAGTATAACGTTATACAAGAGCTGTTGTTGGACACATGGCCCAGGAGTTTGCGCATTACACATTGATTTGTGTTGGGCAGAAGAGCGATGCAAGTTTGAATCATCCTGTTTCTCTGTTTTCTGCCCAGAATTTCTTGTCCTCCCTCAAATTTCCTTTAAATAAAAAGTGGCAAAAGATCGATATTTCTATTCGAAGAAAGCCCTGATGGCTGAATGGATGGGTTTTATTGATCCTTTTTAGACTTTTCTCTGTGTGTCATTTGTCATCAGGAGCTGATTGATATAAACCAGCACCATCTGAATGTGATGGGTGTGGGTCACTCATCTTTGGACACACTGTGTAGGGTCACTCTGGCCAGGGGGCTGCACAGCAAACTGACGGGGGCAGGAGGAGGAGGCTGTGGAATCACTCTCCTACGACCAGGTACCAATATACACACCAGAATACCAGAACAAAGATTTTGGTTCTTGATCATTCAAAAATCAATGCCTTTATGCTAGAATGTTCTAAGTGGTTGCTAGGGCTCAGTGTTGGGGAAAGTTACTTTTAAAAGTAATGCATTACAATATTGCGTTACTCCCTAAAAAGGTAACTAATTGTGTTACTTACAATAATTAGGTAACTAATTAGTGTTACTCAAACAAACCTTTCAGCTGTGCTGCCATTCTGGATTGCAGAAGAATATAATGCAGGAGAAGAAAGTTCAACACTCTTACTTAAAGGGATAGTTCACTTTGAAGTACATTTTTTATATGTTTTAGCTTACCTCAAGGGCATCCAAGATGTAGGTGTCTTTGTTTCCGCAGAAGTTTCAATTTTGATATTTTTAGGTCAAACCGTTCTTGTCTGTCAGTCATATAATGCAGGTCTATGGTCACCACCTCAAAGAGCATGCACAGAGAAGTCCAAATTAAACAGGATTTAATGACTCGTAAATGTAAGTACACATTGATGGCCTAAGACACGAAACGAGCGGTTTGTGTGAGAAAACGAACAGTATTTATATCGTTTTTACCTCTTGTAACGCACAGACCGAAGCGCCCGCGCCCTCAGATCACTTGGACGTGGCTGTGTTTACAAGAGGTCAAAACGATATAAATACTGTTCGTTTTCTCACACAAACCGCTCGTTTCTTGTCTTAGGCCATCAATGTGTACTTACATTTACGAGTCATTAAATCATGTTTAATTTGGACTTCTCTGTCCATGCTCTTTGAGGTGGTGACCATAGACCTGCATTATATGACTGACAGACAAGAACGGTTTGACCTAAAAATATCAAAATTGAAACTACTGCGGAAACAATGACACCTACATCTTGGATGCCCTTGAGGTAAGCTAAAACATATCAAAAATTAATTTCAAAGTGAACTATCTCTTTAAAGACCCCCTGAAATCAATTTTATTTTTTAGCTTTTAGTATGAATATGTTAGCCTTAAGGTTATGGACAAGCTGGTGTGTTCCAAAAAAATGAACAAATTCGCATTTAGGAGATATAAGCATTCAAAACTTACAGTGTCTCACTTCCGCTAAAATGGATCACGGATTTTTATGACATCACCGCGGACTTCAGCTTCTCGTCACATTTTCTGTCCAATCAAATGCTCTCTTGAATCTAAAGCGTCCCGCCCCGTAACGTTACTTAGCTCAAACTGATATGGTCTGACTCCAAAGACGGTTGGTTCATTTTCGTCCTCGTCATCGGTAGACGATTCTGCTAAGTCTGTTGGTGCAGGAGAAGTGGCGGAGAAAAATCCTTTACTATTGAATCCAACGTTTAATTAGCGCTCAGATTTGCTTCCATGTGCTGTCAAGTACGACTTGCAATCTGTGAGGTAAACTAAACTATTGGCTATTTGAAAAAGGGGGAGGAGCCATTCAATATGTCCAGCCTTAGCTTCCTCATTCAGTGGAAATTACGTCAACGCATCATACAAAGCTGCTCGTTCCAAGGCACTGCATGGTTTGTAGGGAAATTACAAACCTGCGCACACATATTCAAACGAATATAACTATAGAATCAATTTTTAATGCGCATGTGAACGCCATCAGGTCACAGGTTCGCGTTTAAAGTCTGTTTAGAGAGAACGCCGTCGTCTTAGTGGCCCCTAATGTAATAACAAATGATAATTTTGCTGGAAGTGAATCAATCAAAACCAACTTTAGCCGGAAATAACATTATTCAAAAATCGCTATAAAGCCAAAACAATCTCTGTTACCGTAAATTGTATGTTTATCTCTGTAAAGCTGCTTTGAAACAATCTCCATTGTTAAAAGCGCTATATAAATGAAGATGACTTGACTTGACTTGACTTCAGTGGGCCTTTTAAATAAAATAAAAAAAATTAGCCAAAAACGTGATCTTTGTGTAACTAATTCGTTTTTTTTTTTTAGCTTGTTTGTATGGTTGGACCATCAAAAGTCAGCAGCAAAGACATTGGTTAATAAAGTGAGTGGTTAATAAAGTGAGATTAAATACATAAAGTATATTTGTGTTAACTAACATATTTAGATATTGCAGGTTTTGTGTAATATTCTTAGTTTGCATTTCATTGTTTTTATTCATGTTGAGGAATACTGAATCTGTTTTTGTTCAAGTGAGATGAGTAAATGCCTGCTCACATTTAGACTAGAACTACAATAACCATCATGTTTACACAGCGCACACACCGCCTCTGCACTTACAGTACTTCTGATTTCTGAAGAGAAGAGAGGTGTCAGTCGATAAATGGAAAACAAAGTAATTTGAAAAGTGACTCAGATATTTTGCTGTAAATTGAAGAGTAATGCGTTACTTTACTAGTTACTCGCGTTACTTGTAATTCGCTACCCCCAATATTGCTAGGGCTTTGTAATGCATTTGTGTAGACAATTAGACAATCTTCTGTCAATTCTGACACCTGATTTATTATAATTGTACCAATCATTATTGTTTTCGTATGAAATGTCTTCATGGAACCCTATGGAGTATATTTTTTATATGCTTCCTGTGGTTAATCAGTCTGATTGCTGCGTATTGTTTGAAAAGTCTCCATGAGGGTGGCACCCTGCAGACTGCGTGACTGTTTAATGCGATTTGTGAGGTAAATCTTGCTTGTCACTCTTGTCTGACAAAGCTAACAACTTGACGCAGAAGCTGTCAGAATGGGCCACACTCTTTGTTTATGCCTGAAGCCACTAACGCATTGAATTTTAATCAGGATCTTAGAACCCTCAAAAACAGCCTCCAATAAAGAGGAGACACAATGCAGGAAGAAGCCGGGCAACATTTATGCTGTGATGTTGTTAGCCTAGCAGCTCGAGTATGTGACATTGTCATTTCTAGGCATGCCTTGTTAAGGCTGAATTGAGACTTCTGAGGTAAAGTCCTTTTCTGTATTTGATTTGCAGACAGGATTGGTCTTTCTCAGCTGTTTTGTGTCTTGTTGCTCCTTTTAATCAGGTTGTTTGCCATCTCAGCGTTATTTAAAGGTCCCCATAATGCTTTTCGGGTATTACCTTTCATGTAGTGTGTTATATAGCTGTTCATTGTCTCCCAAAAGAAACAACCGATTCTGAACTGCCTTGAAACAGGTTGTCAGTAATTCCATTGTTACTTCCTGCACAAACCTACGTAGGTTTGGAACAAGTGATAAATGTGTATCCAATCCTCCCTCTATAATATAATATAATATAATATAATATAATATAATATAATATAATATAATATAATATAATATAATATAATTGTACACACTGTACACAAAGGTTACATTTATTTGATCAAATACAATTAAAAACAAAATACATAAATTACAATTTAAAATAACTGTTTTCTTTTTTAATATATTTAAATGTAATTTAAGCTGAATTTTCAGCATTATTATTCCAATCTTCAGTGTCACATGATCCTTTAGAAATCATTCTAATAGGATGATTTGGTGCTCAAGAAACATTTTTTTTTTTAAATTATTATTATCAATGCTGAAAACAGTTGTAATTGAGTAATTTGTCTAGGTCTTTGTGTTAATGGGTATGTTTTCATCCTTTTTGTTTGCAGAGACAGATGCATCAGTGATTCAGAGCACCTTTGAGGAGTTAAAGTCTTGTGGCTTTGACTGCTGGGAGACCAGTATTGGAGCTCCTGGGGTACAGCAGCACTCATCTGCTGCGCTCAGTCAGGACATACTGAAGATCCTCAACAGCTACTGAGACTCAAAGCAAACAATGTACTTTATGCTTCGTTGTTATCATTAGCACGGATGCTTGTTGCTGCTGTTACTCTGGATCTTGGTTCGACAAATGTAGTTCATAATCATTCTTGGAAAATTATATAAAACATAAGCTAATCATCTGTTGTATTGAAACTTATTTGACATATATTTGTATTACATTCAGGTTTTTTTTTCTCCACACATCAATGCCACTAGATGGCAGCAGAATGTAACACATATTTAATACTGTCAATTTTAGACAGTGTGTGAATGCAAATAATAGATATTTTAAATACATATGAATGAAATGAATTTAAAATAATATTTTCATTAAAAGCTATGTTGCACAAGATTATTATTTCCTGTCCTGTCTGTGTATTCCTAGCAAATGTAGGACGATTGTCTCATTTGCCAACATGTTTCTCAACACGGATCACATTCCCGACCAGAACTAGCACAGCTTGGAGCATTTTGGATTGAGTACAGCCGTTGTATTACTGTCACTAAACCCAAAGTAATTACCTTTCAGTTCTTTGCTCTTTGTCAGAATATTTTGCACCGTAACGGGTTTGAAGCCAAGTAGTGGATGCAAGGATGCATTTGGCTGTCGACCAGACGCAGGCAGACCAAGCTGATCTGTGAAGCGCAGTGATGAAATAAACGCTTTGCACTTTGAGCGGAACACATTTCCCCACAGTCCCAGGAGAGGGGTGTAATTTTAGTGGTGTTTTGTAAGGAACAGATAAAGAGTGGTATCTTCAGCACGCAAGACCTGAAGCTAGAGAAAAGGAAATGGATTTGCACTGAGATTAATGTGTTCCTGTAAACCGAAGGCCGGCAGAAGGACAGAGCCTCTTATGCTTGAACAAGTCAATTTGAGAAGACCTAGGGAGGCCAGAGACGACTTTGAAAGTTGAGTTCTGCCAGTTTTGTAAATGTGAAGCCGTCAGCAAGCTTAATCCAGGTGAGTTTCGGAAGTGATGGGACAACGTGCAGCCTAAGACAAGGCCGGTTGCAAAAACAGCTTAGGCTGGTTTTACAAGTTATTCATCTGATTTTTTTTTCTTCAAGAGTCGGACTGGTCATAACTTTTCAGTCAGTTACATAAAAAAGTAGATTGGTCTAATTTGATTACGAAAAGTAAGGCGCCCTAACGAATTGACGAGACAGTCTTAGCGGCTATGTTTATGCAACAGGTTTTCCTGGCAAGAGTTATTTTTGTCTAAATTCTGTTTTTGTCCATATAATGCACATCAGTGGAGATCAAAAACAACATTGGACCCCATTGTTCAACATTTTTGGTTGAACTATCCCTTTAAGAGCTCGAACAGTGACTTTTAATGACAACATACACACATTTGCCTGTTGAAAAGTGTTATTATTTTGATGTGTTTTGCTTATAGGCTACTCTATTCATTTCTTAAAAAAATAAAATAAAATTTACTGACCCCAAAACTTTTGAATGGTAGTTTATTCAGCAAGGATGCATTAAATTGATCATTAAGTGACAGTAAAGACATTTATAATGTTACAAAAATTATATTTTTAACAAATCCAGTTTTTGAAAACGTTCTATTCATCAAAGAATCCTGAAAAAAATCTGTATCTCAAAAACATTACACAGCACAACCGTTTTCAACATTGATAAGAATTGACCTGAGCTTCAAATCAGCATATTAAAATGATTTCTGAAGGATCCTGCAACACTGAAGTTTTGTTTTGCCGCCACAAGAATAAATAAAATTTTAAAATCTATCAATCTATCAGTATAGAACAGTTATTTTAAATTGTAACAATACTATTACTGTTATAATATTATTGTGTTTCCTGTATTCGTGAGCAAATGAATCCAGCCTTGGTGAGACAATCTTAACAACCCTAAACTTTTCAGGCGAAGTGCACTTTTTTTTACTTGCATAAATCAGATTTACACCTCTGGAGTACATTGATGTTTAAGAATGTGACTCAACGGAAAAACCGCAGTGCTCCGAGGAAGTGACCTCAGACCCCAGAAGTGAGCCGTTGTCCTCTTGTCAATCATGGCGTGTGGCATTTACCCAAAAACTGGCCACCAACCTATTCATACACACTCTGAATATTGCTTTATCTGATGCCATCAGCTTTAAAGGGTAAAAATGAGTCTCATCATCTTCCTTTCCCATTTTCTCCCTGCTGCCACATCCACTTTAGCCCGATCCAATTTGGATCTCATCCTCAGACAGATTGAGGAATCGCTTTTCAATCTTTGATCTGCTGTAATGAAAAGAGAGAGGGTACTGCCTGTGAATGCAGTAACCGGATTAGCGGAGGGAGGAGAAGGCGACATCGGCCGTTTCGAGGGGGAACAGATGAATGAGTAAAGCTGGCTTTAACCAGAAGAGGGGGGCCCAGGACCGGCCCACGCCACCCAAATCCCCCTGACCTGCTGCTAGTCATGTGCCTCGTGTTTGTGCTGACAAACAATTTCACAAAATTGGATCCCCCAAATCGTTATCGACTTTTCCTCTTCCCTTCCCTCCTGCTCTCGGACATGAGAGCCCTTGATAGGGCCGGCTATGAGTTAAACACTATTGGCAGTTTTGAAGTCTGTCCAACAAACAACTGGCTGAGGATGTTGGATAGAAAAGGTCAGTTTGTGGAGAAAAAAAAATAAAATCTGGAATAATTGATTTTTTTTTTCTTTCTTTCGCTCTCCCTGTTGTTTTTATTCATTTCTTTAAATGTCAGAAGGCTTTTGTGTGGCATAGGCAGACAGGTTGTATGAATGAATGAATGGGAACTGGCTGGCTGAGGCTGCCTTTCGTGAACCCTGACCCTCTGTGTGGCGTCCTCTCTGCGCATTCTCTCTTGTGTCAAATCCGTGTCTTCGGCCCCCGCCGTAACCCCAGCTTGAATTTAATTACCACTGAGCTCTTCAATTTAAATTGCATTGATGAAGAGCAATGAGGAGGAGGAGGGGTGAGCCGTACCTCTCTGTCTCTTCTCCCTGCGAGGCACAGATGGTATTTTTTATCAATGTCAGCGGCAGCTTCTTTCTGCACTGATGAATAGATTGTAAGGATGGCCTGACATTATTTCAGATAACAGAGGCGGCTAAGAAAAGGGGTCAAGGATGGAGAGGAACGACAGAGCCATTGAAATATAATAAAACCAAGTATTCAGGACTCAACCCAGACCCGCTTTATTCTGTTTGTCTCTTGCATGTTGCGCTGCATAAAGAAATGTCAGCTGAAATGATTTCCCTTTCATGTGTTCGTTTAACCAAAGTTCAAGAGTGACGGGAGTAAATGTGAAGACATGATGTGTTTTTATTCCTCTTTTCTCTGGGCATGTGAGCACTGTGCGCCGCGGTGGTGTTTGACTCGGGCTCTGCAGGGATGGGACACTGTGTGTGATGGATATGAAGTTTGTCTGTGTGACGCTCTTGTAAACAGATCATAGCAGAAGAGCACGCTGGCAGAATGTCCTTTTTGTCAGAGTCGCACGGATAAAAATCAGCGTCTGACCAACTCTGTGAGTGTCGGTACTTTTTAATCTTCTCCACAGGCTGTGCCTTTGATACCATTTTTACTGGGAAAGTAACATTTATCACCCTTCTTTCCTTTACTGTCCTTTCCTCCACTGTTATCTATCCTGTCGTTGTCATCTTGCCTTTTCTTTTTTTTCCTGTGCTGTCATTTACATCCTTGCTTCGCACTTCCTTTTCCTGATTTATGTCTTTCCCTTTCCTGTTATCTGTCCTTTTCCTCTTTCCTTTTTATCCTTCTAATATTTTTGCCTTCCCTTTTCGTGTTCCTTTTTCCTGTCGTGTTATTTTCTCCTTTCCTTTTCTGGTTTTGCCATGACTTTTTCCTCTCCCTTTTCCTGTCCTGTTATTTTACTCTTTCCTTTTCCTTTATCTGACCTTTTCCTCTTTACTTTCCCTTTCCTCTCCTCCTGTTTCCTGTCATGTTGTTTCCCCTTTCCTTTTCATGTTTTATCATTTTCTTTTTTCTCACTCATATCCTTTCCCTCTCATTTCCTCTCTTTCTCTTTCTACTCTGATTCTTTCCTTTTTATTTCCATTGTCTTGTCCTTTTCATCTTTTCTTGTTCTGTCATTTTCTTTTTCTATTTCCTATTCCCCTTTTCATGTTTTGTAACTTCCCTTTCCTCCTCCTTTTCTTTCTATTATATTTCTATTATCCTTCCCATTTCCTTTTTTCTGTCCTTTTCATCTTTCCTTTTTCCTGTTCTGTAATTCCCCTTCCTTACCATTTCCTCTTGCCTGCCATTTTTCTCATTCCTTTCCTTTTCCTCTCTAGTTCATTAGACTTATTGATTTTTAACCCTAGCAACTTTAACAAAATCGAGACTCTAGTGATATTTCACGGGTAAAGCATGGTTCAATTCCAATTCGTGAGAAGGCTTTCGTCTTGCCCACCTGTGACCTCTCACCTTCTTCAAGAGCTTGTGGCTCTGTGGCTGAGCTGGGCTCTTTTCTCGGCTCGTCTTGAGAAGATGCTGCAAGGGTCAGGGTCAAGGTGGTGTAAAATGAGAGTATGTATGGGAGTTTGTGTGTCTTTCAGAGTGGAGAAAGGCATTCCCCTTCTGCCTGGCCCTGGTGAGAAGTGAGAGCAGAGGTCAGCTGACCCCATTAAGGCTGTCGGCTGCAGAAGAATCTGGCACAGACCTGCACATGTCGAAAGGCTGAAGCATTTGTGTGCGTAGGAGAGAGAAAAGAAGTCCTTGTGTGAGCACTTGAATAGATGGGATGAATCCGTGAGAACTGAAGACTGCAACGTCTTATAGACACTTCAGGTTGATGAATTCGCTTAAGGTCTTGTCTTGATTAATGATCACTTTTGATCCAATATCATTGTTATTCACGGTCTCAGTGAAAGCATATCAGGTCAGTGATAAATGATTCTGTGTAGTATGTTAATAGCTCTTGAAGTTCTTATTTCACAAAAAATAATGTACCATGTTATTAAATCATAATAATTCCATGGTATTCCTTGTAGTACCATGGAAATACCATAGCATATCATATAGTATGAAACAGTAATCAAACAGCCTCATATTAATTATAGACTGGAGAACCTTTTTACAACCCTTTAACAAATTTAGATTTTTCATTAAAAAGTCTATGAAGTTATGATGTGTCATCATAACCTATTACATGTACCATTAAATGGTACTTTGAGAATACCATGATACTACCCATATATCAGAGTACCATGATATTTCCATCTGACTCTCCCACACCATGGTCCTTTTTTTTTCTAAGGATTTATAGCAGAGAAATATCATAACATTCTTTAT